CGCGCCCGCTGAAGAGCTGGGAAAAGTTTCTCCGGAGAGCAATTTCCAATAATTCCAACCACTCACCCTCAAATCGTCTGACTTTTGTGACTTTCGCGGTGGGTGGAAATACCAATAAAAATTCCCCAAATGTGTCCTCTCACCCATTGAGACCTTCCCTTTGATGCTCTCTCTCTCTCTCCCTCTCTCTTTGGGTAGATATTTAATTTAAATGCTCCGGCATTTGGGATGAATTAGTGGGGCTATTCCACTGAAAATGAGCAACAATAATGACGCCATTCCCGAGGCGGCACAATAAAAGTCAAGTCAAGAAGGCAATCAGAGGCATAACAGTTAGAGAAAAGTGGATTTGTTCCCTCTTCAGCAGTAAAAATCCATATCTGCCCACCTTTTGCATGCATTTTCCATTGTGAAATGCCCATATTCTTATCAAACCGCATGTATTAATTCATAAATACAATGACTTTCGCATTGCCTTTTGTGAAATTGATAACATTTTCCAACTTGTGTGTCGTGCACTGTGGATATTCATGGCGAATTAATAGGACAGAGTCACGCTCCAATGGTGAGGTTTTGAATCTAATCAATGAGTAAATGTGACAAATTACACCCTCTCGTGCCCACGTTGGCGCTTTTAACAGCTTAATTGGGAGTTTTAATAAAATTATGATAATAAAAGAGCGCTGAAATGAATTGAATTTAAATCACTTTATATTGATTTTGCCTTTAACCCTTTAATACCTCTGATATTCCAGCAATTTCTGCAGTGTGCAATTCGAAGTGGGAAAGTGTGCATCTGTGTGCAAATGTCGAAATGAAATGAAGACGCCATATTTCGAGGCGTCCGTCAGATAAGTCCATATTGGACGGGTCAAATATGCGATTATTGCGTGAAATCCGATTTGAGCGTGATTTGAATTTACAACCTCTGTCACGGAGAGAAGCTTCAAACTTCAACTCAATTGAATATTTAATAGGAAATGCTCCGCAGAATTGACCAAGTGGCGTCCTGAAGGACACACACGCGAGTACCAATTTCGCAGTGACACAGAAAGTTTGTTTCCGCGCGGATTTTGCTGTCCGCGCGAAAATATGCAGGTGCTCTTGAGAGAGCGAATGAATGATGAATAAACTCACGGAATTGCTTCAAAAACTATTATAGATGAAGCTCTGAAATGTGAGGTTATATGCTGATTAAACATATAGAGCTTTCTTTCCTTCGCGCGAATATCTTCCCATGCGCGACCAATTGCAATCTTCTCGCAACATGTAATCCACCCACCCTAGGAATTTTCCACTCTGGAACTCTGCTGAGAAAATGAAAAGTGTGAGCACACAAGGGCGGGATAACCCATAAAAATATGTGGATTAGTGTGGAGATTTGCGATTTCTGCCTGTCCCAAACCTCTGCCTGTACATTTTATTGGACAATTTTCCCAATTTCACGCACCAGCGCCTCCCTCTTCCCCTATCGCTGCACTTCAAGGTGCCCTTGCCATGGTGCAAAACTCCGACTTGGTGTAATTTACGACCGCCACCCCGCCTGGATAGAGTCTTCAGCGTGCGATAAATCAAAAATCGAGCAAATTCCTTCCCAGAGTTATTGCATTGTCTCGCTGAGGAACTTTTCTCACATGTATATAACTTCAGGTGAGAAATTATCATTTTACCTACAATGATAGTGTTCGGATAGATAGCAAAAAATCGCTTGGATAACACACGTGTCGGGATAACATGACTATTCCCGACATTTTTCCCTCACATTTTTGCAAATTAAGAAAAACCCTCCGAGGCGAGAAAATCATTTAAATTCCACTTGAACGGATTTCGCAAAACGGTGTGTCTCGACGGCCAGTAGTTGAAATTCGCATTATTGAAATGGAATAAATTACGCTAATTCGGCATTGTGACAAAACGGCCGGGGAGACTATTTAGAATAATTAGAGGTAGAGGGAATATACACCCCCCCCCCCTCCGCCCACATGAAATTGAAATACAATGAAATTTGCATTGAGTTAAAAATTAATGAAACTTTGCAGCGCGCGCCCGAAAGTATGCAAATGAGGTGCTCTAAGCCGAAATGCGACAACTTATTCAAATCTCTGTCGCTATTTCATGCTCGGCGCGATTCTTCATTCCAATTCACCCCCCATGAACTCTTGGCTACCAAAAAAAAACATCATTTTTAACGATAGGGTGTGGATTTTTTTTTTCATTGCAATTTGTGGGGTTGCATTGTCGCCTGAGGATATTTTTCCGTCTCTCAATTAACCTGAAATTGAAATCCAATATTCTACTGTGAAATGTCAATTTGACACTGACAGGATAGATTTTTGTCAAACTCAAAATAAACCGTCACTATCTGTGACACTTCTTTCGCCACTCATCATTTCAATAGTGAACGAATTTGCAATGCGAAATTCCATCCGTGTGCAACTTTTAATCCATTCAGAGCCACATGGCTTTCTGTGAATGCCTTAAAATATTCTTTTGACGACAGTTTATATCTCCACCACCCAGACTTGGGCGATGTATCTCAAACTGCCGCCTGTTTGTCCAAGTAATTTGAATAATTTGAGCACACACTGCGGATCCCCACCGGCTCCGCTCCTTTTTTCCTCCCTCCGGAGAAACTTTGCCAGTGACGCTGAAATTGTGTAGTGAATTACATTGAGATTTGTCATACGCAGCATCAGCGACAGGTGGTGAGTGTTTTTTATTCAACTTAATGTTTCCCATCTTTCCGCCAGTGTCCCAAACTTGTGCCGCCCCGCGCCATGGGTTTTATTTTTTTTAATACTCAAGGGGACACTTCAGCCGTGTTGGGGGAAAATTTAGTGGCACTACTTAAAAATTCATGGACTGCACACTCAGAGGGTGCTGAAAAATGTCTTGCTGTTCCGAAGAACCAATCAAGGCGATGCCACTGGGCGGGACACTTAAGTGGGCGGGACTTGGAAAAAATACTGCTAATAGTTCATTAAATGCAACTAAACCTCAAATAGATGGACTCTATCGTAAGAAAGCTGCCCACAATTGATTGCAATCGAGTTTATAACCACACACACTTTACTCAAAGCTTTCGGCAACTGAATTACCAACATTGCGCCTTCACTAACGAGTGGACAGAAGAGTCCAAAAGGGCTGAAAAGCCGTGTCGCCTGCCGTGCTGATGAGAAAAATAAACATTGGCCAAGTGGCCGAATTGGAAGGCGAAGTGTCGAATTAAGGATTTATCTGCAATGCGCCATGCCTTCCATCCTTCAGGGATTGGGAGAAAAATCACACGAAAGACTCCCCTAATTGGATTTCCACCGAGTGCGCGGTGTTGCATAGTTCTTGGGGCGAGTGTGAAATTTGTGTGCAATTTTGGCGCGTGAAAGGCATGATCGCCAATAAATCTCTCAAATAGCAATTAATTCATTTTGAAAACAACACTCTGAGGCAATTAATTAACTTCACAACCATTTTACGTCACTGGAGAACGGATTGGCGCTGACCAACCGTGCTCGGAAAATTTATAAAGTCCCTCTCGGTCGGTCGATGTGGATACAGAATTCGCCTCTCTTTTTGACATGATCCCGACGCGTCGTTTATTTCCACCCTTTTTCGCTGATTTTACTCCCCCAGCGAACATTTTGCCATTTTTCTTGATAGTGTGCTGACAAAAGTGACGAACAACGCTTGCACCTAACCTCAAACGGCATTGCAAAGATTGAGGTTAGGCAGTCAATTGTAATCATGTCTGGAGAATTAGGAGTATTAACCTCCCTCCAAGAGAGTAGACAGGAAAAAAAGAATTCTGTGACATTTTTAAGGGCAGCCCAGAACACATGGCTTTTGAAAAATTCCCCGAATTCCAGCTGACACTCAACCACATCGTATTTCATGGCTCATATTTAATTTCGGCCATTAATCAAATTCACCGGCAGCACGACATTTGTTCATTATTACTTCACAAGAGCTTTTGCATTTATGCTCCTCATGCAGATAGTTTAAAATCGCCGGGCTTTTTTTCCACCTCCTCCTCCTCCACGTCGCCCCAGAATTTTTCCAGCGTGTGACACTTTTCGGCGCAACAGAATGGGTGGAAAAAAGCTCTAAATTTTGCATGATTAAAAAAGTTTCACACACCCTCGCGAATGGCGGGCAAAATAAAAAATAATAATCAGAGAACACAAGTCACAACAATATTGTGTGAAAACCGCAGAAATTTTGTGCATTTTCCACCCTTCGGATGACATTTCTCGCTGTTCAAGCCACTTTTAATGGATGGAAAAGTGTGAAAATTCACTATAACCTCACTTTTATTGTCTTTTCCCCGCCTTTTCAATCTTGATTTGATGACTCTAACCTCGCAAAGAGCGGCAAAATAAGGAAATCTAACCTCAAAAATTGTCTGAAAAACTGCACAAAAATAATGTGTGAAGCGATATTATTGCGCGAATGGCTTTTAATTGAAGCGTCTGGGTGTGTGCTTGCGACTGAAGAGCCCTCAAAGTTCTTACGATTTCTGCTGATGAGTGGCGGTTTGCTTCATTCGCCGGATCAAATCACTCACAGTTGACTTCACACGCCTCACAATTAGACACCAGGCGAATTATTTATTCGCCATTTCTTCGGCTGCATTACAGACACGCCAAGCCTCGGCTGTATTTTGTAATTAAAATCCCCGCGCGCTAAGGAGCTTTTCTGGCGGAAAGGAATTTATTAACCGCCACCACCAAAAATTCATCACATCAAAATTGCATTTTTCCAGCATTTTTGAGAAACACTTGAAAATTCTCTCCGCAGCAGCAAAATTTAATGGGAAGCTCAAATGAATGCAGAGACAGGAAAAGGTTTTTTGGGTGTGGGAAAGTGGACAAATCCGGAGAGGATGATAGAAGCTCACTGTACTCTAATCCCGATGAAATATTTGCAAAAGTCGAAAGCTAAATAACTGTGCGACAAAAGGGGAAAATCATTGAGGAGTTTTGAGAATTTTTCTCTCTCTCTCTCTCTCTCTCTCTCTAAATAAATACAGATCTTTATTGTGAGTATTTCAATTAAACATACCATTGTTCTGTGGACGGAAAATTGCTCATTTGCTGTGGAATGTTTCGTGGAAAATCTACAAGAGGAAGAGAAGAAAAATAAATTGTACTTCAACTAACTTATTGATTCGCCCTTTATTCTATATTCATGCCTAATATTTTGCATTTCAACAGAATATGAAAGCATAAACTTTCGCCATGCCCCGAATTGGAGACCCTTTCAATTTCGCCACACGGATAAAAGGACATTAAAATGAAGCCCAAAGTAGTTGATTAACATTCATCATCAACTTTCCGCTGGGTGTTATTTCTATCAGTCAATGCTGCAATTTAATGAATTTCACACGGAATGAGGGAGAATTAACAATGAAATCCGCACAATTTTCACCACTTTCCTCACTCTTTCTCACTCTCTCGCTCGCGCGCAAAAGGCGAATTTTGCTTCACAAGTGCCAATAAAATATTCTCATTTGACTCCGAAGAAGCGCGTCTTGCGCGCCCCACAAGCAATGAGAGTCACTTTTCACGCTGTTAATTGTAAAGGGAAAAAGCCACTTTGGCTGTGTCTAATTGCAACCATTCCGAATACAATCACTTTTAATCGCACGCCATCTCTTCATCGCAAGAGGCGGAGTGGATCATTTTCTCAATTTTCGCCCAGATAAAAAATTATTTTACGATTTTCTCCTCTCACAGTGTGAGGGAAAATCAGAGGTGGAGAGAATATTTTGAATAGGCAGGGAAAAATTACAGGCGTAGGAAATTGCCAGGGCGACGATTAAAAAGGGGTGGTTGAAAAGGTGGGCAATGAAAAGGCGATAAGAGTTGAATGTAAGAAAATATGAGTATTTCTTGCACAATGACAATATTTTCCAAACGTCTTCCGAGAATATTACTGGAAAGCGAAGGTTTTTATTTTCTAATTTGCAGAATTTTTATCAAAAGAAATCGTTTAATCTTCCTAACATGGCAAGAGATTTCTGGTTAAAAATACTCTCAATACTTGGAAGGGTTGAATTTGGATTCGATTTGTAAAAATGTTCAACTCACCCCTAAAATTAACGATTCAAGACGACAGATAGATCGAAACATCTTCAACGTCCCTCAGTTTGTTGGAGTCGACACTCTCTCCGCACATTGGACAGGAGTTTGTGGCCTCAAACACTCTGATCATCGCCTCCTTGACACCCGGAAAGTCGCACTCTGGACACGCTGCGATGCCCTCGGCGACCAGATGCTGTCCCGTGGCGATGCAGATGGGCAAAGTGACTTTGCAGTGATGGCAAGTCGTCTCCATAGCCAGAAGTTGCACTCCACAAGCGGCGCACGGCGTCATCTCGAGCGTGGCCTCGTCCGAGAGCTCTTTAATCCCCTTGGGAGCCTTCCGGACAATTCCCTCCACCTTCCTAGAGTACTTCTCGTCAATCTGATTGCGGTGCTCAGGCCTCATGAGTGTGGAGGCGAAGGTGAAGGCTGAGGCTCTCAATCCAGCTCGCTGACACTCAATCACCGTCGAGGTGAGAATCGGGACGACATGCGAGGGAAACTGGGAGATGTTCGTAGCCACTTGCACCAGGAGTTTGGCCGCCTGCAGATGATCACCGAGTTGCACGTGAATCCGGACGAGAATGTAGCGATGAAGGAGAACCAGAGCGCCCCTCATGTCCGCCATGATGCTGAGATTGTTCCTCCGCAGTTCCTGATACATGGAGAAGAGGAGATTGTGGGCAGAACGATACTTCCCGGCAAGCTGCTCCTGATTAGCAATAATCACGGCTGCCTTCGCGGCCTCACGGAACTCCTTCTTCGCCATGTACAGCCGAAAGAGGAGTTTGGGGTCCTTCGGCACGCCATCCGTCTCGCCGAGGAGGAACTCAATGAGATGGGCAGTGAGCTGATCATCATTGGCTGAGGCTACGCAGTCTATGGCCAGGGAGAGAGCTATGTTCTCCTCATTGCTGAACGCCGAAGCCTTCAGAAGATGCTTCAGCGCCTTGGTGTACATTTTGGCCAGGAAGTAATACTTCCCACTCAGCAGAGTGTACTTCTCCGTCTCAAAGTGCTGCGCCAGGACCAGGAAATCATCCGGCCGCGCTCCGTCGTACTGCTCAAGAAGCTCCCCGAATTCCCTCACTTTGTTCCTCCGCTCAGCCAGTGAGAAAGCCTCCTGGACAGAGCCACACATGATCAGATACTGGATGGCAGACTCTGTGTCGCCGATCTGCTGGTAAAACCTCGCCAGCAACTTTGCAGACTCCACAGAGCGTGTCTCAAGGACGATTTCTGATGCCGCATGAGGATCACTGAGCTGTTCCAGGTAAATTCTCACCACACTGTCCAGATCTCCAGCTGCTGTGTAGCCTCGAATGGCGTCCTGGAACTTCCCATCAGCTTCCCTCGCCTTGGCGAACGCTGCATGAAGTTTCAGACTCGTCACTCTGCTCAGGAGCTCCTCAACTTTGCTCCAGTTCTTCAACTGAATGTACAGTCCACAGCAGGCATCCCAATTGCCCGCCTTCTCGAACAGCATCGCCGCATCCGACGTCTGACCAAGACTCGCCAGAGATTCTCCACAGTCATTCAGCAAGTGTTTCTCCTGCAGCTCCAGCGCCAATTGAATTCCCCTCCGGAAATCCCTGTTCTTGATCGAAGTCCTCGCAATTCCTGCCTTGCACAGACTCACGTGCTCCTGGGATTGCGCGCCACTCTTCAGTGCCCTCTCATAGTGGGCCAGAGCGGCAGCATGAGAGCCTCCAAACTCCAGCTGACCAGCGTATTCCCGCGCAATCGCAGGCACACTCTCGGGATCAATATTCTCAGCCAATGCCATCGCCTCTTCCCACTGCAGCAGATCCCTGCACAGCTCCAGAGCTTCTCGAGGAGCCGCACTCCTGGCAAAGTGCCTCTTAGCCTCGTCCGCCATGTCCAGGAGCTGAGCACACCTGCCAGCCAGGAAATTCTTATCCTCCACGCCCAGCAGCTCTTCCAGCGCAAACACCACAGCTGGACAGGAGATCTTCCTGAAGACTCTCATGGCGAAGGCCACTTCCAGGTCCGCCAGAGCCGCTCTGGCCAATCGCAACCACTGCTCGCGATCGTTCAACTCAGAGCAGATGTCCCAGGCTGCGGGGAACTTCCTGAGCGCCAGCACGTTTTCCAGGCGATCCTCCGCCTCGGGCGCCACACGATGGGTGTTCAGGGTGAGAGTGGTTAGACTTCCTCCAGTCACGCCCAGATTCAGCTCCCCATCGAAGAGCAGAAGCGGCGTCTGATCAGCCAAGAGACGCGTTTCGCCCACCTTCACAACATGAGCCTTCGACACTGAGTGTCTCACGTGAACGTAAGTCACAGCCAGCTTGTTGCCGCACGCCACAAACACCTGTCCCTGCAGACAATCCCACAAGACAGCCGAGCATTGCTTCGGGAAGTCCGGAATGGGGAGCATTTCTTCTGTCATGGGCGCATAGACAAATCCCGCGTCGTGATCGTCAATGGCAATCACTCGCGTTCCATCAGCGTCCGCTGAGAGACTCCTCACGCCCACGGCGTGTCTGAAGATCATCGATCTGTCCCACTGTTCCAGTGAGAAGTGCACAATCGCCCCCAGATCAGTCGCAAAGGCGAAGAAGTCACCCGCCAAGCAGATGCTGGTGATCACCGCGTCCTCCATCCCAGTCACGTCCTCGGGAAACTGTCTGGGATCTCTGCGCTCTGTGCCCTCACTTGGCGTGCTCTCGATCGGATGCAGCATCGCATGACGTCCACACAGCACAGCACAGAACTCCGCAGTCAGGCGCACCTCCTTCACCTCCGACATGTACTCTCTGTCGCCCAGCAAGAGCGCGCCATCGCGCAGAGATCTGCCCAAATCGTAGAACCACACGTGATTGTTCATGCCGCAGACGAGATGCTGTGGCCCCAGGCCGATGAACGAGGGCTCCACCTCGAGGCTCACCACAGCCGGCGTGGATCTGATCCTCTCTGGGTTGCAGCTGAAGATCGTCACCTCGGCCAGGCTGCTCAGCAGCGCCACTCGCGGAGCACACACGGCGCTGAGCGAGTGCAGCTGCGTCACGAAGACACACAAGCCGCCCTGGGCAGTGGCCGTGGCCAGCAGCTGACCATCGGCACTCCAATCAATCCCGCGCGCTGCCGTGTGATCGGGCAACTGAAGGATCTTGGCAGTCTCCTGCAAATTGCTCATGGCGTGCACTTTGATGCTGTTGTCGCCACAAGAAGCCACCATTCGCAGAGCAGAACTCACCGCCAGTCCAGTCAGCGTATCTCTGTGGTTCTTCACCTGCCACAGCTCCTGACCCACCTCTCTGGGATGCGTGGAAATGGCCACGACGTGTCCCAGAGAGAAGCCCAGCAGAATGTATCCATCGCCAAACCACTTGTGCTGCAGCAGCGATCCGTAGCGCTGCTGAAATCCCAGTTCCGTCGGCGAGTCCGGTTCGGGCAGATGGTACAAGTACAGTGTCCTCTTGCCCAGGATCACGCTGATTGTGTTCTCTCCTGGCAAACGCTCGTCCGTCTTCATCTCGGCAAAGTGCATATCGCTGGGCAGATCGCGCAGCTGCACGACTCTCAGCGAATCTCCCTCGTCGTTGCTTAGCGACAGTGTCTTGTCGTCACTGCCCAGGCCCAGAATGTTCTCCTTGCTCCACACGCCGCACGAGATGCGTTTCGAGTGTTTTCCCAGCACTGGAATCCGGCGTGTTGTCTGATTGTTGTAGATCGCCAAGTTGCCTCTGGTTGTGCCCACGGCCACAACCTGGCCCTGCTTCGCCCACATGATGCAGGTGGGTGTGTCTCTGAGCCCAATGTCCACCAGCTGCTTCTTCTGCGTGTTGGCGTCCCACAAGAGGAGCTGCGAAGTGCCCAAGCAAATCGCTCCCAGGACGTCTCCATCGGCGTCCCAGCCGAAGCCACAGCACAGCCCCTGAAGCACTATCCGGTGTTGCATCTGTCCCTGCCGATTGAAGATTGCAATTGTGCTGTCACTGCCCGTGGTGGCCAGGAGAACACCAGAACCGCCTGAAGAGCACAAAACTTCAATTCTCGCCTACATTTCTCACTCTTCCCCACTCACCCGTCTGCCAGACGAAGTAGAGATCCCCCTGTCCATGAGGATCCTCATGCCTGAAGATCACTTTATCACTAGTCATGGTTTTTTCACTGGAAAACTCCACAAACCACTTTCATCGTGCCTGTTTGTTTACTTCCTTGACGTTTCCATGGGAACCGACTCGCCGCTAGTGCCCTCTTGCAGATCTTCTGGCAAACAGACGCCGCGATATACGCAGCCCAGAGACGAAAAACGTAAACAATGGCGTACAACTTTCTGGATTCCTCGCCTTTTGCCGCGATTCCCATTGAATTCTCCGACAATGAGACTCCCTTCGATCTCACCATGGAGGACAAGTACCGCGAGTGCTGTCGCGTGTTCCAGAAAAAGTGCCGCGAGGTGCAGAAGGAAAATGAGAGGCTCGTGACGAGATTGTATCGCATGAAGAGAATGTCAAAGCGAGCAGAAAAGGACGTGACACTCGTGATGGGGCGCTTAGACAGACACAATCCCGCTTGGAGACTTGAGCCCCCACCACCGCCTCTCTTTCCCCAGTCTGAGGACATTAATACGTCAAAGAAGAGGCGAAAATCAGGTGAGAAAGTCTTCAGGAATACAATTTTGGCTGAATTCTCATGATTTAATGTTGCTTTTCCAGTCCGGAAGCCCACCGGGAAAAGCGGAAAGGCCAAGGAGGAACTCCATGGCACCTTACCAACTGCCCAGACGTCCGGCCTATCCGGAAAAGGTGAACCCAAGACCAGAAAGCGTGATCCAAATGCACCGAAGAAGCCTCCGAACGCCTTCTTCCAGTACTGCCAAGAGCAGAGATCCATTGTCCTGGACGAGATCGCCACCAGGCTTCCGGGAGAGCCTGAGCCCAGCAAGCAGGAGCTGACCAGACAGCTGGCTCAGCGCTGGCGACAGATGGGCAACTCTGACAAGCAGATTTACGTGGACAGATACGAGAACTCGAAGCGGAAGTACAACCAGGACATGCTGTTCTACCGGATGGACGCCCAGGGCGACGGCGCCGGACACTCAGGGGTGGGGAAGTAAAAGTCCAGCACATCTAAATGTCACATTAAGTGTTGTATTGTCTATATTTTGCCATTAAAGATCAATTAAAACATGCACTATCATTCAACATTTTTACTCCATACAATCGATAATCCTGGCTTGCATAATATTGTGACTTATCCTCTGACTTAACGCGAATCCGCCGAACTAAAACCACGCTCTTCTTCCTCTTCTTTTACCCGTTTTACACCCGACGCACGGCCAAACTAAAGGAATAGGACGAGAAGACGAAAAACCATCGACAATCTTCTTATTTTTCTTGCCTCTCTCTCTCTCTCTCTTTTGGATGCGTTTTTCTGTCGATAGTTTTTTTTCCTACACGAAAATATAACAAATCTCTGAATAAAATAAAATAATAAAAACGCTCAAATGTAACAAAAAAAAAGAGACACAAAAAGTTAGACTTCCTTCTCTCTCGCGCGCGCGCGGCGCCTTTTTGCGACGCAATCATTATCATAAATAATAATACAAATTCCGTTGGAGATTCAATCTTCAGGAGATTCTCTTCACGTCTCGCCTAATACTTCGCGTGCTCGCGGCGCGCCTAGCGCATGTAGGGATAGTCGACGTCCGTCTGCGGGGCGTAGGTCTCCTTGATGGCCTGCGCCGAGGTCCAGCGGAGAACATAGTGCGGCCCGCCAGCCTTGTCGTTGGTGCCTGAAACATGTGCGAAACAGCTCGATAAGCAACTACATTCATTTTCTTTATCAATTTGTGCTCTCTGCTTGGCCTTCTCTAAAAACTTCAAAGTAACTTCTTTCCCATTGGGACTGAAGAGGGTTAAAGAGATGTAATTCAAGTTTTCCAACTCTGTTTGCGTGCCATTCAGTGCTTCTTCCGGCACTCAAAGTATAATAATAATTGTCAAAAACATCACGAACACACTCATTGAGAATTGAGACTTGTTTCTGCACTTGCCTGACATTCTGCCACCGCCGAAGGGCTGCTGACCCACCACGGATCCCGTGGACTTGTCGTTAATGTAGAAGTTGCCCGCTGACATCTTGAACGCCTCGAGGGCGCGACGCAGGAAGGATCTGCAAGAAGCCCAGTCATTATGTCCCACTCTAATCCCCAGCGCCACGTGCAATCACACTCACTCGTCCTGGGCGAAAACGGCTCCCGTGAGAGCAAACTTGGTGGCCTGCGTAACTTCGTCCACGACCGCGTCCAGCGTCTTGTCCTCGTACACGTAAACCGTGAGCACGGGCCCGAAGATCTCCTCCGTCATGATGCGGTCGCGCGGATCCGTGGTCTCCACGATTGTGGGCTGGATGAAGTAGCCCTTGCTGTCGTCGCACTTGCCGCCGGCCACGATGCTCAGCGCCGGCGACTTGCGCGCGTGCTCAATGTAGCCGCTGATGCGCTTGTACGCCGCCGCGTCAATCACGGCACCAGCGAAGGTGCTGAAGTCCGTGGGATCGCCAATCTTCAGCTTCTTCACGCCCTCCACGAGCCCCTCACGCACGCCGTCCCACAGTGAGCGCGGCACGTACAGGCGGCTGCAGGCGGAACACTTCTGGCCGCAGAATTCGAATGATGAGCGTAGCGTTCCCGCCACGACGGACTCCACGTGAGCGCTGGGATGCACGAAGTGGAAGTTCTTGCCGCCACACTCGCCGATCAGACGCGGGAAGTTCACATAGCGATCGAGATTCTTCGCCACGGCGCGCCAGAGCCACTGGAACGTCCTGCAAAGGAGAGAATTCTTGCCCACAGAGCGCCAATGGGAGCCATTTGTTACTCACGGCACGGATCCTGTGAAATTGATGCCCGCCAAGTGCGGAGACGCCGTGATGGTGGCCCCAAATGTGGGCCCATCCGCCGGCACGAAGTTCACGACGCCCGGCGGCACGCCGGCCTCAGTCATGATGCGGTAAATGTGCCAATTGGACAGCAGAGCCGTGTCGCTGGGCTTCCACAGCACCGAATTCCCGGCCAGCGCCGGCGTGTAGGCCAGATTGCCGCCGATGGCGGTGAAATTGAATGGACTCACGGCGGCCACGAAGCCGTCAATGCCGCGGAAGCGCTGCGTGTTGCGCGTCACGGCGGGATCTGGGCTGATGGGCTGCAAAAGTGATCAATGTGCAGTGACGTAGTGAGCAGAAAAACAGCTAATTTAGCAAAAAAAATAACGTAAAATTGTGGAATTTTTCCCAGCAAACCAGAAATCACGATCTCGCTCGGAGACTAAAATAAAGCCAAAAAACCCCACTTGAGGAGTCAGAAAGTGTTGCGAAAGACACGCGAGGAAATCGCTGAGCCGTTATTTTTGCGTCTATTTAAAGACCGCGCGCGACTACGCCGCTGACGCTCACCTGATACTTGGCCGCCTCCTTGAGGAAGAAGGCGTTGAGGCGGATGAAATCCACCAGTTCGGCCGCGGAGTCGATCTCCGCCTGGATGGCGGTCTTGGACTGCCCCAGCATCGTGGCGGCGTTGAGGCGCGCACGCCACTCGCCGGCCATGAGCTTGGCCGCGCGCTCCCAAATGTCCAGACGTTCGGACAGCGGCCGGCGGTCCCACTCGCGCTGCGCCTTCGTCGCCACGTCGATGGCGCGCTGGATGACGGGAGCGTCGGCGTAGTAGAACTTGGCCAGGCGCTTGCCGTGGTCGTGCGGCATCACCTGGTAGCGCACGTCCTTCGTGCGGATCTCCTCGCCGCCCACCACGATGGGCACGTCCTGGCACTCCGCCGCCGCGGCCTGCAGCGCCGCCTGCAGCTGCTGGCGCTCCGGGGAGCCGCTGAGGTAGCCCAGCACGGGCTCATTGCGGGCCGGGAAGTCGGGCAGCTGCTCCACTCCCACCACCGAGGACGCCCACCTGCGCTGGCAGCTCCATCTGCAACGGCACCACTCGGTACTTTTCCACTTACGCAACACCCCCGGGGCCCACTCACCTCGCGCGCACCGTCGCGCTCACTGTCTGCGTGCACCGAATCATGCTCGTGTCACTATTGCGAGGGCCTGAACGGGCTCCTCACTCTCCCAATGCCTTGCCTGGTACTTTTCCACAACGCAAACTTGATGTTTCTCACCCCTTTTTTCCTCTCGCGATATTTATCTGCCGATATTTATCGTGCGCCGAGGATATCGTCGCTTGACTCACCGATTCTGCACTCTCCGATATCACCAATTTTTGCCACTTACTTCGCTCGCTTCTGTTCCACTGACGATTTCCAAAAAGCGCAGTGGAGAAGTAATTATTGAGCCAAAAATAGCACAAACAGGCAAAAAATTCCTGCAATATCTGAGACTGCTGCTTCAGTTCAATGCCGGGCAAATACTAAAAAATACACCTCAGAAGCTGAATATTTCCATATCGTGTTTCAATTCTTCACAATCGAAGCTTTCACACTCCCAAAAACAAACCTGCAATCTGTATTTGTGCCTCGACAAAATATTCCACAACGGAAAAAAACAATGGAAAAATGTCTTATAAATGGAATTATAAGAAGATAAAGATTTTTTTATTGTGAAACATTGCAGAAATAAGAGCTCTCTGTCAAGATAGGTTGATTTAAAACAAAATTTCACTTGCAAAACGCCCGAGAACCATCGAAACACTGCTATTTACAGTTGCGTCTATCTAAGCAACAAGATATCTCTTGTCTCTTGATTGAAAGATAAGCTTTCTCCACCCAGAAAAAGTTTTCTGTTCCCATGGAAGCCGAAAAAGTGGCGAAAACTGCAAAAAACCGAACTAAAACACAAGTGAAGGCAGTAAGGGATGTTTTTACAACGGAACAAGGCAACAAACAGCACAAAACTAATGCGAAAAAGTTCTGAATTCCTGAGGGAAGTGAAATTAACTCAGCATTGGGAGAATTCTACTCAAAATTGTTTAAAAATAATGCTATAACATTGCGAGACCGACGAGAAAGATAAAGAAGAGATAAAGCCATTCAGAGACTTGTTTGGAGATTAATTTTCTGTGTGCAAAAGATGCAAAATGAAAGCAACATTGTTATTCAATTTCTCACGTGTTATAATGATTTTTTTACAATAATTCAGTAGCTTTCAAGTATTCCAATGTTTTTGTGGTTTTATCGCTTTTATCAACATGAAACCAATTCTTCCTGTGCCTAAATATAGCGTTCTTGTTGAGAGGTTAAGATAAAAACCACCCTTTGGCGCGACCCCTTGAAGTAGTCAAAATACGGGAAAATTACTGCAACTTCTGAAGCATCACGCGATAATCGCCAAGTGACATTTGCAATTTGAGTGTCCCTATGGAGAACGGATTCCACGATCCGAAATCGTCCATGGAATATCTTCCACTTTTGTTCCTATAATAGGAATAAAATCCTCGGAATTCCAAGCTATCCTCCATGGATAAATTCCACTTTATTCCAAGCAAGATACCATGGTATAATTCCATACATATTCCTTTTGGCCATCCATGGATATTAGAATGGAACATTTTCCATGGTGCTAAATCCGCGGAATATCCATGGGTTTTCCACGGAATAATTCGCTCTTTGCACGTCCCCACGCGATTACGTCAGTCTTGTGAAATTCTTCTCATAGGAAAGAACGCGTAAGTATTTTCTGTACTTTTCAGTACTAAAACCTTAAGTTTTTAATGGTAAACACTCTAAGTTTGGTGATATTTCCAGGAAAAGTGCTGAATGTATGCGATGGAGACGGCACAGGGACCCCACAGTCAGAGAAGACTCGAGGTTTCCGGACAACGTCAAAGTAGGAGAAACAACTAATGTAAGTATGGAATTACCGAAACATAAGAGATATATCCTGTTTTCTATACTGAACATGTCTTTTTTACAGGAAAATAGGATGCGGAAAAGCGGTTACCGGAGGATCTACTTATCCGACAGAGTGTGACTCATGACAAGGTAAAAAATGTTCTTCATGTTCTCGAATTCCTATGGCGAAAATCCATGGAACATCCTATAAATAACCATGGAAGATTTCCATGCTAGAATTTCATCCATGGTGAATCCCTTGGAACTCCGTGGATCAGCAAGGAAAATCCTTGGAATTCAGCATGGAAGATTCCATGCTGAATTCCATAGGAATTTAGCTAGGATGATTTTCCATGGATTATTTCCCACATTGCTTCCAAATTTTCCATGGTGACTTTTCCCATATATGGACGATTTCCATTGTGATTCCATTGACCAATCCAAGGACGATTACAAGGAATACCATGGAGGGAATACCATGCAAATATACGATCAGTAATTTGTGTATTCTATTTTCCAGCATTTCTCAAACATATCCGGACCGGTGCGAGAAGACATCAAAGAGCATCTCGACATCCGGCGACCACGGTAGCAGTCGTCTAGAAGAGTAGCAGTCCCTGGGAAGCGGCATAGCAGCCACCAAGGCAACGCGTCATAAAAATTTGATACACATTTGTAAGCTTGATAGTTAATATTTAATAAATACAAATCCAAATATAAATGAGTCTTTTTTTTGGATATTTTGGGGCGGAGCGCCGGGAATTTCTGGGAGAAATTTCACACATTGGAATTTCCTCCATGGTATTCCTTGTAATCGTCCTTGGATTGGTCAATGGAATCACAATGGAAATCTTCCATATATGGGAAAAGTCACCATGGAAAATTTGGAAGCAATGTGGGAAAAAATCCATGGAAAATCATCCTAGCTAAATTCCTATGGAATTCAGCATGGAATCTTCCATGCTGAATCCAAGGATTTTCCTTGTTGATCCACGGAGTTCCAAGGAATTTTCCATGGATGCTATTACGCGGATTGCATGGAAATCGTCCATGGTTATCCATTGGATATTCCACGGATTTTCGCCATAGGGTGTGTCAAAATATTTTCGCCTAAAGGATTTTCACGCGAATTTTCCACAATCTCCCCACGACCCACACACTGCCCAGCTGCAACAGTACAAATCCCTCAGTGAACATGTCCAGGAGAGCACAGGAGGCGTGATGGAGACTCGCGTGCATCCTTCCAGTCGCAATGAGTGACATGAAGGTGGAGGAAAATCGCCTCCGGACGTTCTCGCGCTGGCCCAGCGACGCCCCCGTGAGTCCCGAGAGGATCGCCAAGGCGGGCTTCTTCGCCACGGGCAGCGACCTGGAGGTGCAGTGTGCCTGGTGCGAGAAGAAGATCGCGGCGTGGGAATATGGAGATCAAGTGATCGCACGACATCGTCGCCTGGATCCGCTGTGTCGCTTCGTGATCAATCCCACCGAGTCGGGCAATGTGCCCAGGGCCTCGGGCAGTTCCCAGGCCACCGGCGTGGACGACTGGAAGAACGAGGAGACGCGCCTGCGGAGCTTCTCGCGCTGGCCCGTGACCTTCGTCAGTCCGGCGGCGCTGGCCAAGGCGGGATTCTACTTCTTCAACCTGGAGGATCGCGTGCGGTGCGCCTGGTGTCAGGGTGTTGTCGGCCAGTGGGAGGAGGGCGACGATCCCTTCACCGTGCACCAACGCTTCTTCCCCACATGCCCCCGGGCAGTTCTGGGGCCGAACATTGACATTCCCGCCGGCGAGAGGATCTCCGAACTGGGCATTCAGGCCACACGACCCCCGAAGATGCCCAAGTACGCCTCCCTGGACGCCCGACTGAGGACCTTCGCCGCCTGGCCGGTGGCCGAAGTGCAGCGCGGCGAGATCTTGGCGCAGGCGGGCTTCTACTATCAGGGCAATCAAGACCAGGTGCGCTGCTTCCAGTGCGATGGCGGACTCAAGTGCTGGCTACCGGACGACGACGCGTGGTGTGAGCACGCCAAGTGGTTCCCCAAATGCCAGTTCGTGCAGCTGATGAAGGGCCAGGCGTACATCGAGGCCATCCAGCGCTCCTCGGCGTCCCAGAAGCAAGAGTCCAGCGCCCGCACGGGCCGCCCAGAGCCCACGATGACCCTGGACGAGGCCATGGCCACGGAGCCCGTGCGCCAGACGCTGCGCATGGGTCTGCACGAGGGACGCATCCGGGCGGCCACGAAGCAGCAGCTGGAGCACCGCGGACGTCCCTTCGACACCGCCGACGATCTCGTGCGCGCCGTCCTGGGCGGACAGGTGTTCAACGAGGTGGACCTGGACGAAGTGGAGCCGCCCGAGGGCTCCAATGTGATCGTGCGACGCGTGTCAGACATCATTGGCTTCCTGGTGAACAGCACAACGCACAGGATGAGCACGGAAGCGCCACCAGCCGCCCAGGAGATGGCCCCACCATCGTCACCAGATGCGCCCGAAGTACCCAAGGACGCCCAGAGTCTCGAGGAGGAGAATCGGAAGCTGAAGGATGCTCGACTGTGCAAAATCTGCATGGATGAAGAGATTTCCATCGTTTTCTTGCCCTGTGCGCATCTCGGTGAGTTCTTCCTGCCTCTTCTTTTGAACTCTTCTCGTCTCATTCCCCCCCCTTGTCACTCTTTCCAGCGAGTTGCGGCCAATGCGCTTCTGGAGTGTCTCACTGTCCACTCTGCAGATCTGTTATCAACGGACGCGTCCGCATTTTCCTGTCGTAAAGTGGACTAAATCCAGCATAAATGTTTCTTGGATATACGATGTAATATTTCTTGTTTCCTGTAACTTAAAAAAAAAACAACAACAACAACATAGTGAATTACATTTATGACACCAGAGAAGCTCCGCCCACTCACAAGTCCCGCCCATTTGTTTACCAACACGCTGAACAGTGGCTGTAGAACCACTTTTGCGGCCCCGAAACGTCCTCAAGTGAAGACTGTGTAATTATTCTAATTTTATCAACGACGGCCGCGACCTTCCTCAATCGTCATCTGTGTTCTGCTGTGCTCCGATAACACGTCACAAGACTCAATGATGCAATAATTCCGCCAAATGCCAGTCAGTGTGAAAAGTGTCTCAGAAGCACACGAACCGTGGTGGTTCTAATTGGCAACAGAAATCTTCATTTTATCTCACCTGAAACTCACTCTATCTCGCTTATCAGCCAACTAGCGCGACTGAGTGGAAAGACAGTGGTAATCAATGTAAATAGTTTAAAGACTTTTATAGGCAAGAAAATCCGTCGCTTAATTAGGAGGAAAAATGCTTTACGTAATCAAGAAAGAGAGAGAATCAGTTGTATTTCGTGAGTGCACGAGATTTGGCGTTGGTGATAAAGTGCAGAGAAAGTGAGTGATCTCGCGAACTGTGTCAATTGCTCAAGATTCCCCAACGGACTCTTCCTCCTGATAAGCTGAGCGCGGCTGATCAACTTGGAAATTGCAGTGAGTATTCATTCATGACCCAAAAATAGCATCGAGGAAGTATTTTGGGCACGAAAATGGATTGCTAACTCATGTAAGCGCATGCAAGACAGTCGCGGCCAGAGAAATAAGCCCAATACATTTTTAGGCACATCACTTGTGGTGGATTTATTCCACTGGCAACAACTGTAATTTCAATAAATGCCCTTCTCAGAACTTTCACGGCGATCTTTCGTGAGAATATGGACTTTGTGATCGGCGGCGCAGCTGCCTGTTCGGCAGGCATCTTCACGAATCCCTTGGATCTGATCAAGACGCGTCAGCAGCTGCACGGCGAGCTGGACAGGGCGAAGCCCAGAGGTCATCAGAATCCCTACAGGAACATCTTCACATCCGTGCGCACGATAGTGAAGACTGACGGCATTCTGGGCCTTCAGAAGGGCCTCGCGCCGGCGCTGGGCTTCCAGCTGGTGATGAACAGCACCAGGTGAGCTCCTGATGTCCACACAATCGCTCCAGCTTGACATCCCTCTTCTCAAAGACTAGGCCTCTATGACACCTTCGACAAGCTGGGCTGGACGCGCGGCAAGAGTGGTCATCACTCGCCCTTCCTGCTGGTCTTCTGGGGAGGCTTCAGCGGAGCCACGGGATCAGTCCTGGCCACGCCTCTGTACCTGGTGAAGACGCAGATCCAGGCGATGTCGTCGGGAGACGCGGCCGTTGGACATCAGCATCAGCACAGAGGCATGCTGGACGCTTTCCGGACAATCTACAAAGACAGCGGTGTCGCGGGACTCTGGCGGGGATCTGTGGCCATCCTCTGTCGAACGGCTGTCGGATCCTCCGTCCAGCTGTCCACCTTCACAGCCTGCAAAGACTTCTGCCACAAATACGAGGTGGAAAATTGCCAGTGAGAAAATGCCGCTGAAATAGCAAATTGACACCGATGTTTTCTTGCAGATCTTCCACAATAGCGTCTTCCTGACGGCATGCAGCGCCAGTGTGGTCAGTGGCTTCCTCATGGTGTGCTGCATGACGCCGCTGGACGTCATCTCGACGCGCCTCTTCAACCAGGGCGTGGACGAAAAGGGCCGAGGACTGCTGTATCGCAACATCTTCGACTGCTTCCTCAAGACATTCAAGTGCGAAGGCCTCCGAGGACTGTACAAGGGCTTCCGGCCGATGTTCTACCGCGCTGCGCCGCACACAATTCTCAATCTCACGTTCTGGGACATGTTCAAGAAGTGGAAAGGACTCTATTTCTCACTAGATTGATGTATTAAAGATGTGTGTTTTAATTCACTGTGAATTCGATGGCTGCACCTTTGCCAGCTCCGCCTTGAACTTCGCAATGGTCTCGCGGGCCAGTTTCAGCTTGTCCTTCAGCAATGTGATGTCCGACTTCACCCTCACCTTCGCCTCCATGATGTTCTCCAGAGATTTACGCTTCTTCTCCTCAAAGTCCGTGTCGTGCTTCCAGCTGTCATTGGACAGATTCTGGACATTGGTGAGGTAGTGCTGCATGAGCTGCGTTGGCTCCTGGAAGACAATCTCCTCGTAGGACTCCGACACGAGTCCTTTCTTGCTGTCTGTCGACGAGATTTCACCATCGACGATCGGCGACTGGAAGAGCTTCAGGATGTGATACAGCGTCACCGGTCGCTCTGTGGGATCGTGAAAGTAGATCTTGATGACCACCTCGAACTCTCCCCAGCCCGTCTCTGTGACTTCATAAGGGGGCTTCGTGAGTATCCGACTGGGATTTGCATAGCTCTCGTGCAATTTGAAGTGGATCTTTTTCACGTAGATCGACATGTCTTCGTTGAAGTAGGGCTTCACGTACACGTTCCATTGATGTGTGTGACCGTCCTCTTCACGCTTCTTGCCAAAGGATCTCGCCACATTCCCGTAAACTATTGGCTTGACGATTGTGAGTCCCTGGGCGGCCGGAAAGAAGTGGATGTTAGGAGAACCAAAACAATCAGTATTTCTCTGTTTTTACCTTAACTCTGCCTCCAGAATCTGGGCCAAAGTCTGTAGGGATGTTTATTGAACTCATTTTGTGTATTTTCTACTGTATATCTAGACAATTTCTCGTGAAAAATGGGTAAAAACAGCGAGGAAAGCGTTCTATAAATCAAAACAAAGCCGCCACTAGTCGAAACTGGTCTAAAGGGCGCAACTGTCAAAGCTGTCACAATATTTGAGTCACCCTGTGCTTCTCACGCTTTTTCCTGCGCCTTTTCATCTGTGAAAACAAGTGTGAAAATGTTCAGATTGCAAGGGCTTCCACCCATCGATCCTGTGGAGGAGCGCCGGCGAATCCGGGATGGAGTGAAGAGGAATGTTATCACATTCCTGGCCTTGTGCGCAGCGATAAGAATAGGTGAGGTTATGTCACTTTGCTTCCTTCGGAATCCGCCCTTATTTTGCCACTTTTCCCTCACTTTTCAGCCCCCATCGTCTTCCGTGAGGTCAGCAATGCGGTCAGGCAGTGAAACTGAAGTAATTCAGTTGTAGATTTGATGTAAATTTTCTATACTATTTTAATACTAAGAAGCCCAACGGAAGGACTTTTTACTTCCCGGAAGAACTCTTGAAGTGTCCCCGGATCTGCTTCTGAAGCAATTGAAAGCGATTCTGCTTCACCACGGCCTTCTGTGCCTCCCTCAGGAGACACATCTGCTCCTGGCGAATCTCCTTCTCTGTGCGATGAAGAATTGGAACGGGAATTCTGTCCAGCTGATGCAGAAGTTCCATCACGAAGTCATGGAGTCTCGCAAATTTCTCACTGGACGCCATCTGATCGTCAATTTGGCGGCACCGACGTTCTCTGGGCACAATGTAGTCGTACAATTGATTACAAATAGCCTTGATCTTGATTCGGGAAGCTGTTGGGCTGCAAAAGAAAGGATTCTGGTGAGTTTTCCTCTATCTTCTCTCTTCTGTCAACACTGTCCACCTCTTGATGCTCCTCTCCAGAGGCTTGCCCATCACTTGCTTCACCTCATAGCTCAGCAAGTAGGCTCGCTCCTCGAGAAAGAGCTCCTGGACACTCTGGAACTTCATCATCTTCTTCTGATTCTGCTCAGAGCGCTCAAAGGCCACATTTAATCTCTCCGCCTGATGCAAGAAAATCTCATAGATCCAAAGCGTCTTGTTGTACTGATTTAGAGATGTGAAGACTTTCTGCTTGAGCGTGGCCAATCCATTCCTCAGCAGCTCGGGATCCGGAGTGATTCCCTTCATCCGATCGATGTTGGGAAAAATCTCCCTCTCGAAGAACTTCCGGATGTTCTCAGGCGATGTTTTGTCCCTCACGTTGATTTTCGAGCAATTCTCCACAATGTTCACAGCCTCGTGAAGCTCTCCAGACGCGGAACGATGAATCCAATCATTGGCCTTGCGCCATTCCGGCTCCATGAGAAGATAATAGTAGTTCTGCAGCTTCATCAGTGTGTCCCACCGGCGCTCCTCCTCAAGCACAGACTCTGTGATGAACTCCAACTCTGCTCTGGAGTGTGAGAGAGAGAGAAACAAGTAAGCGAATCTTTCCATTTTCTGAGTCTTCTTACCTTAATTCCTCCACTTTGGCTCCCATTTCTCTGGTTTTCTGCTGCAGTGGCTTCATAGCTTGCATCCTCCTGATCACTCTGTCGTAGGAATCATTCTTCACGTCCTTTAGGAAGTCAGAGCAGACATTGGAGAAGTCCTCCACCTCCTTAATCGCCGCCTCCTCTGCCTTCTGTCTCTCCAGGAGATTCAGCAGATTCTCAGTTGTGTAGTACATGGAGAAGATCTTCCTCGTGGCATCTCGCAACGCCAGAATGTCACTTTTCACGCAAAACTTCCTCACTGGCGGACGATGTCGCAGATCATGCACGTAATTGTCATCCCATTCCGTGGCCAGGCGATGAAGGTACTTCTCATGGAAGCCAAAGCGCTCCTCCTCAAAGGCACGCGAAGTCACATTGAGACGATCGCGCGTCTCTGGGCGATCTCTCAACACGCTGGTGTAAAACTTCTGTGATCTGGTGAACATCTTCGGCTTCCTGAATTTCTCCATGAATCGCGGATCCAAATATAATGCGCCCAGGCTGGATTCACACTTGGTTGTTCTCGTGTGACGCTTCTTGGTGAAGATTCTGGGCGGTCTGAAGAGTTGGTAGCCAATCTTGACTCTCCTCGCACTCTTTCTCTCCAGCTTCTCAGGCTTCTGTGCGGAATCCTCATCTCGTGCCTGAACACTGCTGGGCTTTGAGGCATCTTTGGTGGTCGCCTTGAAGTCTTCGAAGCAAATCACCTCTTTAGGACCACCGTAAGTCTCCTCAAATTCCCTCAGCTTCTCGCTGTAGCACTCCCGGATGAAGGCTCTGTATTTGTTGCGCCTGGAGGATTGCGATGGCATTAGTCGCTTCAGGCGGAGCAAATTCTCGTCCGAACTGATTTCTTCAGCAGCAGCAGCAGTTTTTTCACCTTCAACAGTGGCTTTGGCCAGCTGAATCCTCGATCTGTCGTAGAGAAGCATGCTGATCCGCCTGAGTTGACTCTTGCTGAGGAAGCGATTCCTCAGTCGATCCTTCTTCCTCCTGCAAAGGCGGCAATTTGAGAGGACAAAACAAACCAACAAACTTGACCTTTGAATCCTACCTGGGCTGAAATCTGAAGGTGGGAATAACGAAATAGGGCGTCTTGATCAGAGTGAGACTCTTCACGTGCTCAATGCTGTCGTCGGAGGAACAGTCGCTCGTCGGCGGCAGAGGAACCTTCATGTGCATCAGCCTGGCTCTGCGCAGCCCTCTATTCTGGGTCTTCTTCTTCTCAAAGTGTCCCTCAGCGCGCTTCGTCATTGTGTGCGGAATGAAGAACTTGTCGTGCGTCTGCGTGAGGCGATCAGGCGCTGGAGGACGCGGAAATGGACCGTAGAAAGTGCCCTCGAGATGGGGAATCTTCTTCAGTGGTGCCTTCCTCACAATCCCAATGGGAAGCTTCCTGACGTCTGGATCTGGTGAGGGTGTTTTGACCTTTTGGGCGATCTTTTGAGGATCTCTCTTGGCTTTGATGTCATCAATCCACTGGCGAAAGTTGAATTCTTGGCTGGTTCTCTGGAAACTGCGCTGAATGTCCTTCTCCCATTCCTGGAGAAGGAGAAGAAGAAGTAAGTAAGAGAATCAGGAAACCTCATCACATGACAGTTGAAAGAGACTTTTAAAGAATTTCTGGATACAAATGATAGTTTTATTCTGTAATCTTAACTCCTAAACCGACTTTAATCTTGCTCAAATGTAATAACATATTCATCCACAAATTCCGTCTTCACTGTTTCTGCAATTTCCATCTCGCTGTGAAATTCTGGATAATCAGTCTCAGTTTTCTCAATCTTTATATCTGATGGATTAATTGGGAATTTTTTCTCATCTGCTTCGCCAATGTTTGTGTTCTCCTCTGTGATGTTGTGCGTGATTCGCAAATGTCTCTTCATGTTGATCTTATGCTTTATTCCAACGCCACAAATTCGACAGGGAAAGTTTGGTCTGTTGGCGTTATGAATGGTTTTCTTGTGTTTCTGCAGAAAGCTCTCAACTTTGAACTTCTTATTGCAAATTGAGCACTCAAAAGGTCTCTCATCAGAATGTGAAGCTCTATGTGCCATAAAACCGCGTTTTCCCTGCAAGATTTTTCCACACTGAAGACAGGTGAACTCTTTGCAGGGCCTCTTGACTTTGGTGTATGTCCTTAAAAAAAGGCAGAGAATCTCGCGTTAGAAAGCTAAAGAAATTGCGCAAAACATTGTGGTCTACTTGTCATGCATGATGCGAATGTGTTGTCTGATTCTCTGCTTGTCCAGGAACTTCTTTCCACAGTGACCGCACTCAAAGCGTAGCTCAACTGGATGGATTTTCACGTGTTCCTTGAGTGTTTCCAGATTCTCAAAGACCTCATGGCAAATTGTGCACACTGTGCTGTTTGGAGACATTGGAAGACCTCTGTGGAAGAGTTCAGTGTGCTTCTTCAGATCGCACTCAGTCTTGCGCTCCAATCCGCAGTGGATGCAGCAAATGGTGGGCTGAAAGTGTTTCTTCATGTGATAATCCATATTAGTTTGTCTCTTGAAGGTCTTCTTGCAGATGCCACACTCAATGATCTTCTGTGGCTTATTGTGTGTCTTCAGGTGACCTTTGAGGTTTGCCTTTGTCCTCAGCATGCGTGCGCAAATGGGACACTGAAACTCCCTGATTCCACTGTGAGACGTCACGTGCTGCCGATGAACGAATCCCGTGTAGGAGACTTTGCCACAGATCTCACATGTGTACGACTTCTTGGCAATCTCGGGTGTCTTCATGCCCAGATGCTTCCGCTGCACGTGATCAATCAGACGCGCATTTGTCGTGTACTTCTTGTCGCACTTCTCACACTCAAACATGTGGCGATCGCTGCTGTGTCTCTTGAGATGAATACGCAGATATGTTGGCTTCCTGAACCTCTTCCCGCACAGTGGGCAGGGAAAGTGCCAATCCTTGGAGTGCTTCTGCATGTGTGTGGCCAAGTGTGTGTTGGAGCCAAAGGTCTTCTGGCATTGTGGACATGAAACGGTCTTCTTATCACTCGTGTGATGATTCGCCAGTGTTCCGTGGTTCTTCAGGAGTCGAGCTGTGGGAAAGGCCTTCTCGCAGATCAGACACTTGAAGAGTCTCTCCGTGGAGTGGATGACACTGTGACTGTTGAGATCGCAGGCTCTGCTGAAGACTTTATCACACGAAACACATCGATGTTCTGTGCTTTTGGAATGAGTTTCAATGTGTCTCTTCTGACTTTCCGGTGTCGTCAAGGTCTTCTCGCACAGATGACAAGGGTAAGTTTTCCTCCCCTCAACGTGGGTTTTCATGTGAGTCTTCAATCGACTTTGATCCGCAAAGGCTTTCGGACATTGTGTGCAAAAGAAGGACTTTTCTGTCACATGCACAGACATGTGCGTCTTGATTTTGGAGAGACACGCAAAGGATTTGTCGCATTCTGTGCACTTGAACTTATTCTCCTTCACATTTCCAAGCTTTCCAAACTCCTGCTTTCGGGGTTTTCTCGGTTTCCTGGATATCCTATAAAGGATTATGTTTATTAATTGAAATTGAATCCTGAAATTGATTAAATCACTTACTTTTCTTCATCCTTCACGATTTTATCGAATTCCTGCTCATTTTCTACATTCTCACACTTTACTTTCACCTCTTTTACGTCTTCGTCATTTTCCATTTTCTGAGGATAACAAGGACAATCGGAGAATCTCAAAGTCCTCAAAGTAATCCGAATATTTTTCCAGGAATAAAAGCTTCAACTCCGACACCAAATGTGACACTTTTATGACATTATTCAACTGGTCGAAAAAGAGGCGTCAAAAACCACGCGTCTTCGGGATTTCTGTGCGCTTTTCCTCTCCAGGAAAATGGAAAATGCTGACAATAAGGACATGATTCTGGATCTCAGCATCGTGAAGGAAGAGTACGTGATTCAGGAATTTGACTTGGCGGAGCAGGAAGATGATAAAAGGTATGATAAAAGAATTTTTTCAACATTTCTTGGAAATGCTTGACAAAAGTATCATCAAATGTGCGTCTTTGGCAGCCAAATTCCGGTTTATCGGCAAGAGAATGGGAGTGACAAGGTCAAGAATGAGGTGGAGAAGAAGCACATTTGTGCCATTTGTGGCAAGGCGTTCCGTCATCGCCGGGATATTCGGTATCACATCACAATTCACTCCAAGGAGCGCAAGCACAAGTGCCGGCAATGCCGGAAGACTTTCACAGATGAGCGTCGGTTGCTGACACACCTGAAGATCCATGCCGATGGGCAGTTGCACGAGTGTAAGTTGTGCAGCAAGACCTTCCCCAATGTGCAGTACCTGAGGATTCACTTGAAGAGACACCTCGGCATCCGGCGTCACGAGTGTCGCCACTGTGGCAAGACGTTCCTCGAGACGCGCAGCCTGAAGTTCCACATTGTGCGCTTCCACGAGGACGCGGCCACGACGGAGTTGCCCAATAACAGATTCACGTGTCATCACTGCGGCAGGATCTCAATTGACAACATTGCGCACGAATTGCACGTGCTCACGCACTCGGATGAGCGCACGATTGAGTGTCCGCGCTGTCCGAAGATGTTCAAGCATCGGGTGCATCTGAGAGTGCATCTGAAGACTCACAGGACTGACAAGTCCTTCAGCTGTGGCATCTGCAGCAAGGCCTTTAAGACTGCCCAACAGTTGCGCGTGCATGTGAAGAGACACAAGATGCTGCTCTTCAACTGTCCGTACTGCCCGAAGTGCTACAGGGACAAGAAAGCGTGCAAGTTGCACGTGTGGAATCATCACACAGGACTGCCTCTGGACATTACAGGTGGGAATTGACTTAACAGTGACTGTTTTGCAAGGCTTTCATAAATTCTTCTCCTTTCAGACGGTCCCGTGTCCTGTACAGCCTGCCATCAAGTGTACGACAGTCTGGATAAGCTGATGATTCACGTTGGCGTGCACGCGGGTGAGAAATCCTTCCAATGTGCCATTTGCCAGAAGGACTTCATTGACAAACGAAAGCTGCGCACACACATGAGACTTCAGCACGAGCGTCCGGAGGCGCTGAATAAGGTGCTGAAGTGCAGTGTGTGCGGCAAAGGATGTCGCGGAAGGACGCATTTGGCTCTTCATCAGGCTCTTCACACGGATGAGTTGCCATTTGAGTGTGCCATTTGCTCGAAGAGATTCAAGCGGAAGACGCAAATTGCCGCTCATGTGATGACGCACAGCAAGGAAAGGAAAGTCTACAGTTGCCAGATTTGTGGCATCGAGCGGATGAGCTTGAGGAGTGTGAGAAATCACGAAAGCACGCACAAGAAAGGTGAGAAGTTGATGGAGTGCAAGGTTGAGGGATGTAAGAAGGCGTTCAATAAGAAGACATTTCTCAACGAGCACATTGCGAAGACACACAAGGAAGTGTGGCAGACGATGGTGTCAAAGAAACCGGCGACGAAGACTGAAGCGCGCGTGAAGAAGGTGAAGGAGAAGAGACATGTTTGTGCTATTTGTGGAAAGGCTTTCTACCATCGCAGAGATATTCGACATCATGTGACCATTCACTCGACTGAGAGGAAGTTTCCCTGCTCGAAGTGCCCGAAGAGATTCACCAGCGAGCAGCGATTGAACACACACATGAGACTACACGATGATGAGAATGGTCCGTATCCGTGTGAAGTGTGTGGAAAGGTGTTTAGAATCTCAGAGTATCTGAGAATCCATCTGAAGAGACACACTGGCGAGGATTGTGTGAATTGTCAGGTATGCGGCCTGAGATTGGCGAGTTTGAGGAATCTGCGGAATCATCTGAAGAGTTTTCATGAAGAGACAGACACGGGCTTTCCACGCAATCAATTCACCTGTGACATTTGTGGGAAGAATTGCTACAACAAGCAATCCTTCGATGGTCACATGTTCAGTCACACGAACGAGAAGTCCGTGAAGTGCTCCAAATGCCCGAAGATGTTCAAGTCTGTGAAGCACGTGAAGGTGCACGAGAAGATTGTGCATGATGAGGTGAAGCTCTACTTCTGCGTGGTGTGCAGCAAAGTGTACAAGAGCAAGCATGTGTTCAAGAATCACCTCGATGCTCAGCACAGAGGCTTTCCCATGGAGATCATTGATGGTCGTCCCATGACTTGCACAGCGTGCAAGGAAGTCTTTCACACCATCAAGACGCTCAAGGAACACATTCGCATTCACGCTGACGAGAGACCGTTTGAGTGTCCGGAATGTGGGAAGGGTTTTAAGCAAAGACGTGTCCTTAAAGCTCACATCGTTGGTCTTCATGGGTGCACTGACAAGCCCTCGAGGATCCTCAAGTGTCCTCAGTGTGGCAAAGGATGCCGCGGAAAGACATATTTGAACCTTCATCTTGCCACTCACACCATCGACGCGCCCTTCGAATGCGCTCTCTGCGCCAAGACGTTCAAACTCAAGTCTCACGTGCAGCAGCACGTGATGAGGCACAGCAAGGAGAGGAAGACATATCCTTGCAAGACGTGTGGCATGCAACTGGTGAGTCTCAGGAGTCATCGAAGGCACGAGGCGAAGTGCGATAGAGATAAGAAAGGGGTGAAATGTCCAATGAAGAAGTGCACAAAAGCCTTTTCCCAGGAGAAATACTTGACGGCTCACATTCACACTGTTCACATGAAGGGGAAGAAGAGGAAAGTCGCTAAGATCGAGGGGGAAAAGGATGTTAAGAGTGAGGAGAAAGTGTCCAAGATGCCAAAGGACAAATCGGTGATGCGATTCTTCTGCACTGTGTGCAATAAAGGCTTCCACTACAACAAGGATCTTCAGTATCACTCGTCAATTCACGTGACTGAGAAGACTGTGCGGTGTCTGAAGTGTGAGAAAACCTTTGCAGATGAGCGAAGGATGTTGACACACATGAGAATTCACTCTGACGGTGGACCGCATGAATGCAAGCTGTGCCAGAAGGTGTTCAAGAATCCCGACTATCTCCGGTATCACTTGCTAAGGCACATGGGCGTGAAGAAGTTCTCGTGTCAGGAGTGCGACAAGAAGTTCGTCACCTCGCGCACGTGGAAGCATCACATGGTGCGAGAGCACGAGGGAATGGGTGTGCCGAGGCCGGAGAAGATCACCTGTGATCAGTGTGGCGATGCGTTCGGCAACAAGTTGTACCTCAGGAAGCACATTGAGAGGCGTCACAGCGACGAGAGGAAGTTCACGTGCTCGCGATGCGACAAGACGTTCAAGTGCAGAGAGGATGTGAGGAAGCACATGAGAGTGCACAGTCCGTGGATATACACTTGTCCCGTGTGCAGCAGGAAAGTCAGACACAGAGGATACTTGGTGAGACACATGGAAGCACTTCACAGAGGCGTTCCAGCGGATATTAAGGGTGAGTTTATCACATTCAGATTTACATGATTACTGCAATTATAATCACTCTCTGGCTCTTGCTTTTAGATTCTAATGCTCCTTTGGCTTGTACAGCGTGCAAAGTGCAGTTTGCAAATCTCAAAGTCCTGATGGCACACATTGGCGTGCACGCCAATGAAAGGCCACACGAATGCTCGATGTGTGGGCAGGGATTTAAGGAGAGGCGCGTTATGTTGGTGCATGTGAAGCAAAGTCACCATGGGAAGGAAAAGATGAATCTGCTGAAGTGCTCCAAGTGTGGAGAAGCTTGTCGTGGAAGAAGTGAATTGGCAGTTCATTTTGCCACTGTTCATCTCAAGACTGAAGCTCTGGAGTGCGCCTTTTGCTCCAGGAAGTTCACATCGAAGATCGGCATTGGCAAACACATGATCAAGCACAGTCAGGAAGGGTATTTGAAGCCTAAGGAAGGAAGGAAGGATGACCAGAAAAACATTACGGGTGTTAAAATTGAGATTGAAAGTGATTAAAGTGCCTTTCATTCGTCTTTTCAAAAGGTAAGAACATATGATTTTATTCTTTCACTCCTCTTCACGCTTAAAGACAACCAAAGTGTCAGCTTTAGTTATCATCGTTCCTGAAATCTCAATCTCAGTCTGCAGATAATTGTCGTCCGTCTCGATCTTTATCCTTGTCGTGTCCATCTGAAGAGCATGCTTGCGATCGTGTTGTCTCAGTGTCTTCTTGTGTATCAATTTCGCGCCGCAGACTTTGCAGGTGAATCTGGGTCTGTTCTTGATGTGAATCCTCACGTGCTTCACAATTGCGTCCTTTCGCTTGAATGTCTTCGCACACGTGGCACACTTGAAGGGTGACACATCAATGTGAATAACGAGATGTCTCTGATAGTTGTGCCAATCCAGGAGTGTTTTCCCGCAATAAGGACAGACGCAGAGCTTCCTCTTCTTGTCTCTCACGTGAATTTCCACGTGATTCTTCAGTGCCGCCAAGTTTTGGAAGTCTTTCGTGCAAACTGTGCAGAAGACGACTTCGTCTGTGGCTCTAATGTCGGGAGGAAGACCTCTGTGGCGACTTCGTATGTGTGCCTTGAGATTCTCCCTGTTGCTGTACGTCTTGCTGCAATACTGGCAAATTGTTGGTTGGCTCTCGTGACTGGCGCTGTGCGACATGAGATTGGACTTCCTCTTGAATCCCTTCTGGCACACGTCACAGGCGAAGGGCTTCTCTTTGCTGTGCACCAGCATGTGCTCCGTGAGATTGTACTTCAGCTTGAATGCCTTGGGACACAGCGGACACTTGAGATTCCTGCTCGAGCTGTGCTTCACCAGCTGATGTCTCTCGTACGATGCTTTATTCCACAAGATCTTTCCGCACTGACTGCATGGCATCCTGGATTTCAAGCCCTTTTCCGGCTTCTTTCCCTCGTGAATCTGCCTGATGTGTCTCCTCTTGTGACTGCTGTCGGAGAATCTCTTTCCGCACATCTCGCACTCGTGCTTCTTCCCTCCGGAGTGCCTTTGCATGTGGAACTTGAGATGTGTGGCACTCTTGAAGGTCTTCGCGCAGAGATTGCACGGCAAGGATTCATCACTGTGCGTCTTCATGTGATTATCCAGTCGTCTCTGGTTCCCGAAGCACTTCAGGCACTCAGAACACTGGAAGTTCTTCTCCTTTGAGTGAGTCACCATGTGATCCTTGAGATTGTAAACTGATTTGCAAGATTTGCCACAAAAGTGGCATTTGTGCTTCTGTTCTCTCACTTTCTGGATGACAAACTCAACAGTCTCACTCTCAACTTCAGCATTTTTGCTGGAATGAAGAGAATAAACACTGTTAATACGGAATTTTCTCTGGACATTGAGAAAACTTACCCAAGAAAGACTTCTTCCTTTTTCACTGAAAATTCATCCTTCACAGGCACGAATTTTAATAGGTTTTCCTCTTGTTTCACTCCAATTTCCATTACTACTCAGGAAAATCAGGACTTTCAATTGAAACGGCAATTATGCAAGATTCTTTTGCTCATGAATGAGTTCCCAATGGAATGAGTAAAAAAGCTGTTTTTGTTTGCACCAATGAATGGTGAATTTGTAGTGTAAATTCACCTCTCAGCTGTTCAAGCAAAACAAAATCTTTCGTCTCAAGTTTTTCGAGAGTCCTTTGCAATTTACATGGAGACCGAAGCTGGATCGTCTGCTCCTGAGGGCAGACTGCGATTCATCATCCAGGAAATTGAGGAAGAACAGCCAGTGAAGAAGGAATTCAAGTGTCCTCAGTGCTCCAAAGTCTTCCGGGAGCAGTTAAATGTGCAGCGCCACTTGAAGACACACACAAATCTACTGCCCTATCCTTGCAGCTTCTGCAAGGAGTCCTTCAAGACAATCCTGCTTCTCACGCAACATCTCAAGGCGCACTGTGGAGAGAAGATCAGTCGCACGGAGAGGCGTGCTGACCATGTTCCGAAGAAGAATAGCAGAAAACGGCGGAAGAGACGGGAAATTGCCCGGATTTTCAATTGTCTCTACTGCAAGAAGACATTCTCATGCGAGATGTATGCCAAGCGACACATTAAGAATGTGCACAGAGGTTTTCCTCTAGAGATGATTGACGGTCCGGTGGATTGTGTCATCTGCCAGAAGTCTTTCGGCGATCTGGAGACTCTGAAGGAGCACGTGCGGAGTCATGATGCGGAAGCCTTCGAGTGCGCTCACTGTGGCAAGAGATTCTTCAGTAGGTACGCAATAAGACGACATGTACAGATGGTTCACATCAAGGCCCACGTCTCACTGCCCTGTCCGCAGTGTGACAAGGTGCTGAGAGGCACAAAGGCATTCCTCAGGCATCAGCAGAGTCACAGCAATCAAGAACCTTTTAAATGCTGCTTCTGCCCGAAGAAGTTCAAGCTGCAGTCTTTCCTGGACAAACATCTGGCGCTGCACATCGAAGAGAGGCCGGGCATTCCGTGTGGAATCTGCGGATGTGTGCTGAAGTACAGGCAGAGCTGGAAGAAACACATGCGGATGCACGAAAGCGTGACTGAAGACCTGACTTGCTCGTTCTGTAAGAAGAAATTCATCTACAGGGCGCGTCTGGAGACGCATCAGCAGCGATATCACAAGTATCTGGAGTGTCCTTATTGCGACAAGAAGCCTGGGTCGCAGAAGTTCCTGGAGGAGCACATAAGAGAGCATCACAAGGGCTTTCCCGTGGAGATAAAGAAGGAAATGTAACGAGCTTCTCCATTCAAAGAAATTCTGTGGTGAAATTGAAGCCGGAGAACCGCAAGAAGAAGCCGAATAAATGAAGGATTAAGAAAGCTTTAGTATTTATTCTTGTCCGTTTTGGCTTCCGGAAAAGTCCTGAGCGAAAATGCTTTTGAAAATCCCGCAAAGAAGAGGTGAAAAGCCCGATGAGAAGCACAAACTGACAGTGGTGAGTATTTTTGACATCGGAAAACGAAGCGCATAAACAAACACCAAAAGTATCACAAAGTGTCCTGCAATAATCCTCTTTTGAGGACTCCAGGGCCAGCATGGATCTCGCCGATGCGCATGAAATCAATTTCCTGGACGGGACCATGGTGAAGGATGAGTTCACAATACGTGAAATAGAGTTGCAGGATTCAGATTTTGAGAATCCTGAGTAAGGCACAAATCCGGAGTCAGCACAAATATTGTCTTACTGAAATCCGTGGTGTTTTCCAGGAAACCCCCTGATGCCCAGTCGGAATTGGTACAATTTGTGATAACGGAGTTCAGGGAGCGCGACCATAAGTGTCCCAACTGCGACATGGCATTCTACGAGGCGTCGCATCTCAGGCTGCACATGGTGAAGCACAGGAAGGTGGAGACTTTCCACTGTCGCCAGTGCTTCAAGTCCTTCAAGGACAAGGACAAGCTGCGGACGCACCTGAAGTCGCACGGGAAGGTGCTGCCACGCGAGCACAAGTCGCGCGAGCGGAGAGTGTCGCTGGGCCAGAAAGTGCCGCAGAAGCGCAAGGCGCAGGAGGACGAGACATTCAGGATCACAGGCTATCACAGGGATCAGTTCGACAGGCACGCCGGCGAGAGATTGCGCCGGTGTAAGCTGTGTCGCGAGGGCTTCTACGAGGAGACCGAGCTGGAGGATCACATGGAGCTGATTCACATCTGGTACAAGGACTCCATGGAGAAGGACCGACCGGAGGACTTGGAGCTGATCTGTGGCTTCTGTGGGAAGCGCTTCAAGACAAAGTACCTCAATAGGCAACACATCAAGCTCATTCATAGCGAATCCAGGGACATCAAGTGCTACATCTGCTCCCGAACATTTCCCAACTCAATTTGGCTCCACAAGCACTTGAGGGATTGCCAGGCGCAGAATAAAGTGGTCACGGTGTAGGGAACAAGGGGACTCAAGCGAAGAGCCCAGCCAGGAAGCCTCACGTAAGAGATTTAAGGATAATTATTATGAATTGATAGTATTAAGAGAGCCTCTTTGGTAACTTCACCAGTAGATCTGAAGGTTTTTTAGAGAGCCTTTGAGAAGTGATTAAATTAATTTTCACGCTATTTGATTCCTCAGCTTTAATTGTTATCTCTGAAGGTCCTTAAGGTGTCTATTCCTGTGCTTGTGCACGTGACTCTCGATGGCTTTCTGCAGCCAGAAAACTCTGTCATCACAGTGAAGACAGACGAATTTCCATTCTAATCATTCAGCTTTGTTTACCATCACTTTACTCACCACACCTCTTACTTTAAGACTTCTCTTACAGGAAAATCTCATCCAAGGAAGAATTTCAAGCACACATAATTTATTATCTCTAAGCAGAATTCACACATCTTCTTCGGAATTTATCAGCTCATAAGACCAGTCAGGTTCTGTCTTGATTGTCTCAGAGCACTCAATCACACTCTCCAGAACTTCCTCGTCATCTGGACAATCTAATTTCTTCAGCAAATCCTTGTGATGCCTCTCCATGTGTTTGTTGAAGGATCTCTTCTTAATGTACGTCTTCCAACATCCTGGACAATTTATGTAGGTGATTTCCTTGCTCTTCTCGTGATTCTTCTCATGATCTCTCAGTGTAGATTTCCTCTTCAGCTGCAATCCGCAGATTTTGCACGGGAAAAGTGGTCGATCCTTGTCGTGGAGAATCATGTGATTCTTCAGGAATTTCCTGCCCTTGAACACCTTCAGGCAAATCGTACACTTTGGCACAGTTTCTACTTTCTTCACACCGTGTCTGGCAGTCTTCTGTGGTGATTTTCTGGTGCGCTTGTAGATTTTCTTCTCGCCAACATGGGCAAAGGTGATGTGATCCCTGACTCGCCTCTTGTTGATGTAGGTTTTTCCGCACTCAGCACACTCGAAAGGCTTCTCCAGCGGATGAATCTGCACGTGACTCTTCAGATTCTCAAAGTCCTCAAACACCTCACTGCAAATTGTGCACGAGATGACATCACAGCCGGGATCATCGGGAAGCCCTCTGTGGAACATGTCCATGTGACTCCTGAAGCCATCGTCATTCCTGTAGGTTCTAGTGCAGTAGGCGCACTTGAGCGTCTTGTCTCTGTGTCGCATCAGGTGCTTCTTGAGATAGTACTCCCTGCCGAAGGACTTGCCGCAGATCTTGCAGCTGTAGGGCTTCGCCGTGTTGTGCACCAGCATGTGTCTCTCCAGGTAGAACTTGTGCTTGAACTTCTTGCAGCACACAGGACACTCTTCATTCCTCACGTCGCTGTGCATCAGCAAGTGCCTCTCGTACTTGGTCTTGTTCCAGAACATCTTCTCACACTCTGCACACTTGTAGCTGATTGTGGACAATTCGCTGGGCTTCTTGCCCTCGTGAACTTCCAGGACATGTCGCCGGACGCTTGTTTTGTCTCTGAAGTCCTTGCGGCAAATCGCACACTGGAACTTCCTCTCATCGCTGTGTCTCTTCACGTGAGCCTTGAGGCAGGGCGGCGTCTTGAAGAACTTCCCGCAGATGGTGCAGGGATAGCGCCCCTTGCTTTCCTCCGCCATGGAATAAACACACAGATGCTGTTTCAGACTTTTATTTTCACACGTCACAAGAATTCACCACTGAAAAGCTCTTCAATCTCTTATGTTAAGATCTTCCGTTTTGATTGCTTTTCCCTCAATTTCATGCATCAATTCATGCCTCTTTAGACTGTATGCTTGAACATGTTTCGCCCCGCAGACTTTGCACGACAACAAGGGTCTGTCCTTCTTGTGAATCTCCAGGTGTCTGAGCAAATTGTAATTCCTGGGGAAGGATTTATCACAGTGTGAACAGGAGAATGCTTTCTTGTTCGACTGTTTCTCGTGATACGTGTGAATGTGTCTCTGAACAGCCTTCTCGTCGAGGAATTCCTTCTCACACATCTCACATCTGCTCATCTCCTCACTGGGATGCTTCCTGGTGTGATCCTTCAGCGCCTCCAGTGTCTGGAAAGCCTCTTTGCAGATTGTGCACACTGGAGGATCATCAGGATCCACCGGAAGTCCCCTGTGCAGAACTGTGATGTGTTTCCTCAAGCCCTCTTGGCTCCTCATCGGCGCCTTGCAGTAGAAACAGTTGACATTCCGCCCCAAATGCGTGATGCCGTGCTGAGTGAGAGCGGACTTCTTCTTGAATCCTTTGCCACACACGCCACAGACGAAGGGCTTGTCCTGTCTGTGCACGTGCAGATGCTCCCTCAGATTCCGCTCATGCTTGAACTTCTTCGCACACAGCGAACACTCAATGTCCTTCGTTTGGCTGTGCACGGACACGTGTCGCTCGAAGAGAGTCCTGTTGTAGAAGACTTTCTCGCAGTGCTGACAAGAGAAGCGCTTCCCTGGAAGCTGGGAATGAATTCTCTGGATGTGACGCCTCATGTCGTGCTTGTCGTTGAAGGCTCTTCCGCATTGTTCGCATTCAAACTTGGTGTCTGTGCCATGCCTGGCGATGTGGCCTTTCAGGGATTGTTGAGTCTTCAGGAGTTTTCCGCAAATTGTGCAAGGAAAGATGTGCTTTTGTGAGTTCTGCTGATGCCTGTGAGGATTAAATGACTTTGCAATGATCTGACACGATGGGAATCTTTCATACTAACCCTTCTTCCTCATCTTTGACTGAGGATTCGTCCTCCGGGAAGACATACTCTTCCTTGACAATGCTGTAATCTAGGTGAAAATCGTCCTTCTCTTCCTTCACTTCCATTCTCGTGACATTCAATTTTCACCTGCACTTCACTAATCACTCGACACTTTACGAGAAATCAATGCTTTTCCTGCGAAAACCACAGAAATCATTCATTTTTCCTGTGTTTTCTTCTTGCCGACAAACTCACCACGGCGTGGTGAATTTGCACCACAGACTCGTCGAAGAGCCAAAATGTCACTTGTGGTGTCAACAAATATCACCGTGTGAAGTGCTGTGTGTATTTTTCTCGGAAATGCGTGAAAAAACATGGAAAGGCGGGTGAAAAAGGAGCCAGAATCGACTGAGTGTAGCTTCCTGAAGGCGAAGGAAGAGGTGGCCGGGGAAAATGGGCCAGTTGAGGAGCAGGGAAATGCGTGAGTGGCATTTATTTGGCCTTTATGGCTGACGGGACGCTTTCATTTTTCTGTCACTTCTGTGGCTCTCATTGTAGGAATTTATTCTGCCACGCTTGCGAGAGGCAATTTTATGATCAGGAGGAGTACGATGTGCATCAGGAGCAGCACATGCAGTGTCCCTACTGCGAAAAGTGGCTTCCCACCAAGCGTGGTCTCAAGTTACATGTGCACTATCTTCACAGTGGCCTTCCGTGGATCATCGCAGGTGATTTGGTGGCTTTGGGGATCCTTGCTGCGATCGCTGACATTGTTTATCTCTTCTTTCAGATGGTCCACAGAGGTGCACAGCTTGTGGCAAGACATTTAAGAATCTCACAGTGCTGCAATCTCACGCAGAGAGTAAACATCAAAAGGGACGGAAGTCTTCGGCCAGGAAGTCTGTGGCGAGATCCTCAACATTCCAGATTACTATGGTTGATTTGACCAGTGATCAGGGCACCAGTGGACGTGTTGGCCAGAGAATTAGTCAGGTGAAAGTGGAGAGAAGCCTGCCAAATGGACTCTTTCACGCTGCGAATGATTTTCACTGCAGAATCTGCGGTGAGACATTCAGAAGTGAGGAGAACCGATTGAAGCATGTCCTGCAGGTGCACGAAATCTCCCAAGGAACACAGGAGAGTGTCTCCTGCTCGTACTGCAATGTGAAATGCAGGAATAGTTATCGTCTGGAGTTGCACATAAGAGAATCTCATCGAGGATTGCCCACATTTATTGAAGATGGTCCAATTTCTCGGGGTGTTTGCTTTGTGGCCTTAAACAGAGTGGAAAATGAAAAGTTCACACAACCCTTGAGGTACGCGTGCACGAGTTGCGGTGAGAAGTTTGCGGAGAAGGTGAAATTAAAGAGTCACATCCTTCAAATGCACGGCAACAGTGACACGGGAAAGAGTGGCTTCCCATGCAATGTGTGCGGAGCTGTTTTGCAGCACAAACTGTCCTTCGAGCGACACCTTGTGTTGCATGACAACAGTCTGGGCACCGTCAAGTGTCCGCAGTGTCCGAAGAGCTTCCTCAGGCAGTGTGATCTGGACGAACACTTGCCGCGTCACAGTCAAGAGCGACCCTTCAAGTGCTCCGACTGCAGTTTGTCGTTCAAGAAGCGGAGAGGTCTGCAGCAGCACAGACTGCTGCACGACACGGGCCCCACAATGTGTCCGTACTGCACGCGACACTGTCTGAATGAGGCTCGATTGCGATTCCACGTGCGGAAGTGCCATCGCGGGCTTCCGGCGAAGATCACCGATGGCCCTGTCAGTTGCACCATCTGCAAGATGTCCTTCGACAGTCTGGATGCCCTGATGAGTCACGCCACGATGCTGCATGCCACGGCAATGAAGCCCTGCCGGTGCAAATACTGCGGCGAGGAGTTCCTCGATCACAACGAGCGACAAGTGCACATTCAGCAGAACCATGACAATGAGTCCCAGGGCATCGTGCAATTGTCCTACAAATCCTATCGCTGTGATGAGTGTGGCAAAGTGTTGTCCAGCAAGAATAACTTCGAGCGACACGTGATGAAGCACAAGAACGTGGGCAGTTTCGAGTGCACCATCTGTCCAAGGAAGTTTGCCTATCAATCTGAGCTGAGGCAACATGTGAGAGTGTGTCTGAGGCGACAGAAGAAGAGTCAGACGGCACAGTGTCCGCATTGTCTGGTGAAATTCAAGACACAGGAGCGCTTTGAGAAGCACATGATGAAACTCCATCCCGGATTGCCGAAGAGCATTTCAGGTAGTGTGAAAAAGACTTTGTGAAAGTGTGAAGATTTCATTGTTGGCTCATGTTTTCAGAGGGACACATTGAGTGTAGCATTTGTGAGAAGTCATTCGACAGTCTGGATGAATTGAGGACACACGCTGCGGCACAGCATCCCGTTGAGCGGCCGGTGGAGTGTAGATTTTGCGGAGAGACATTCCAGGATGAGGAGGAGAAGAGAGATCACATTGACGAAGTTCACCGAAGGTAAATTGACGATTGTGACTGTCAATTAACCTCTGTACACTTAAATTGATCTCTAATCTTAGGCACATTTGTGATGTTTGCAAGAGATTCTTTGACAACAGAGACGCTCTTTTGCTGCACATGGAGACACACGAGACAAAGAAGAATTCCCGCAGACATAATGAATCGTATGAGTGTGAGAAATGCGGAGAGATGTTTAGTAAGAAGTTAACACTGAAGATTCACATGTTCCGAAGGCATTTGAGGTACTCAAAAACACTAAAATTTACTCTATCAAAAGAGTGTGTCAGAATTAATAAAGGATTTTTCTTTGCAGCAAAGCAACAAGTACGGAAAAGGGACCATTTCCTTGCAAGATTTGTGGTAAAGTTCTTGCCAAGAGGACAACACTGAAGCTACATGTGTTGCGACACGAGGGATCGCTGAAGTTTGAATGTTCGCGATGTTCAAAGACATTTCAGTCAAATGTAGATCTGAGGAAGCACGTGAGGACACACAATATAAGGAGAATCTACAAGTGTAGAATTTGTGGGAAGGGATTCAAGGGAAGTGGAGCTCTTGGGCGACACGCAATGGTTCACGAGAATCCACCGAAAGAGTGTCCACATTGTGGCATGAAGTGCAGAAATGAGGAGACTTTCCACAGTCACATGACGACATTCCATCGTGGACTTCCGCTGGAGATTGGCAATGAAGGAGGTCCGTTCGATTGTGGTGTCTGTGGAGTGTCTTTTAAGATAATTGAGGCTCTGCAGAATCACTGTTCAGCTGAACATCCGTGCGAGAAGCCTTTCAAGTGCATGAATTGCCAGGAGACATTCAGTGACAAACAGGGAATGGAGAAACACTTCCAAGAGACACAAGAATGCCAACTGAAACACGCCTTGTATTCCACATCTGGACCATTTACGTGTAATTTGTGTGGCAAAGTGTTTATTCAGCGGCACTCGATGGAGAGTCACATGGTGCAGAAGCACAATGCCAAGGGGAAATACAAATGTTCGAGCTGCAATAGAGAGTTCGCCTACATTAGTCAGTACAAGCAGCATCAAATGGCCAAGAGATCGTGTCGCAGGGGATTCAAGACGACGGTGAGGAGCGTGAGGAGAGTCAAGGCGACTTACAGGCGACGAGCTAGACGGTTTGAGTGTAAATACTGTGACAAGGTTTTGCGGTGTGAAAAGACATTTAAGCATCACATAAAGTGCCACAAAGAGAGTGGAATTGATGAGTCTTCCTTGAAGTATGAATGCGAGAAGTGTGGACAGAGATTTATAGATGAAATCACAGTGAAACTGCACATTCTACGCTGGCATGTTATGAGGTAATTTCAGTGGTTTTTTCTCAGGAAAAGTTATGTAGTATTCTGAGAATCTTATCTTCCCATTTTTTTCAGTCGCATCATGGATAGCTACAAAGGCAGCGGACCTTTCACGTGCAAACAGTGTGGAAAGGTGTTGATTCGCAGACACACTTTGAGGCGTCATTTGCACAGACATGCCAATGATTTGGGCATAAAGTGTCCACTATGTCCGAAGTCTTACATGTTAAGGTTGGATTTGAGAGAACACATAGCATCACATTCGAAGGATAAGGCATTCAAGTGTGGTGTTTGTGGGCAAGCATTCAAGCAAAAGCGATATTTGATGTGTCACAAGAAGAAGATGATGTGTTTTAAGAGTAAGTTACTTGATTATGAGAACATCAGTTGTCCGTACTGCATGAAAGAGTTCAAATTGAAGTACATCCTCGTGAGACACTTGAAACGCTTTCACCGAGGACTTCCGCAAGTCATCACGACAGACGGTCCTTTTCGGTGTTACGTGTGCCAGACGAAGAGTGAGACACTTGAGGATCTCAAGGAGCACTGTGCTGTTCAGCATCCCTGCGAGAAGCCCATCAGATGTCACAAGTGTGGAGAGAGATTCACACAGAGAATAGAGCTTAGTGATCACATGCAGAGTGGAAAATGTGTCAAAAGGTGAGTTTATTTGTTGATTTGTGGGCGGGATTAACAAGTGGGCGTGGCTTGATGAATATCAATTTTCTTTTCACAGGAGAATTTTGGTGCACAGATCGAAGGTATCGAGCAGGATGAAGAGAATATCGGCGCGACATGCCTGCAATATCTGCGGAAAGGTGATGCGTTATCATTTCAATCTTGAGCGACACATGATCGACGCACACGCGCAAGCTGGGCGATTCCAGTGTGAGATTTGCTCCAAACAGATATCACATCAGAGTGTCTACACGGTGCACATGAAGAGATGCATGGACAGTAGATACTGTGCTTACTGCAGCAAACTGTGCTGGACTTCGGTGCGACTGGTCAATCATGTGCATAGACACCATCAGAGTCTTCCGGTGGACAGCAGAAGTGAGTTAGAAGAGACATTGAAGAGTGTGAAGCTGTGAAATTTCAATGATTTATTCATTGCAGATCATCCTTTGGACTGCATAGCGTGTGAGAAGTCATTTGGCAATCTTCAAGAGTTGAATGATCACCATAAAGATACGCATTATGGTGAGGAGCGCTTCGAGTGTGTGCGATGCAAGATAACTTTTGACAGCAGAGAAGAGAGAATGTATCACTTTACCTTTCAGTGCAGGAAGAATAATCAGCATATTAAGTATGTTAAGTCTGGATCACAGATGAGAATTTTTATAAGATTCATTGGAAAACTATGACATTTCAGGTCAGATATCTGTTGCAACATCTGTGGAATGTTCTTCAGGAAGAGGAAATATCTTGAATTGCACATGAGTAGACATGAAGCGGCAGATGATGCTGCATTCTTTCTGTATGAGTGTGAAAAGTGTGGTCAGAAGTTCAATGATGAGATGAAAGTGAAGCTTCACATTTTCCGCATACACTTGAAATTGATGGCAAAATATCAGGGCAATGGACCATTTACGTGCAAAGATTGTGGCTCATTTCACGTGCGTAAGGCGAATTTTGAGTTGCATCTGATGAGACATGAAACTAGTGAGAATTTCCCATGTTACAAGTGTCCAATGAAGTTCTTGTCAATGCGAAGCATGGAGATTCACATGAAGTATCACAGTCGGACGTACAAATGTGAGCAGTGTGGAAAGAAATTCAAGAGCAGAGGCGTTCTGAGGCGTCACACGGTGAGGCATGAAGTGGAAAATGCCATGACTGCTGAATGTCCGTATTGTGGCATCGTGTGTGAGAGTAAGAGTGATTTTCACGTGCACGTGGAGACATTCCATCGAGGTCTGCCGGTGGAGATTGGCGAAGAAGGACCATTTAGTTGTAGTGCTTGTGAGCAGACTTTTGACACACTTGACGATTTGCAGGCTCACTGTTTGACTGAACATCCTTGTGAGAAGCCATTTGACTGCAAAATGTGCCAACAAACATTCGTCAACAAGACAGAAATGCAGAAACACACTGAAGAAAGAACAGAATGTCGAGAAATGTGAGTTTATTGAGTATATTTTAACTGTAGACATTATAAAAAATGTAATGTTTTTCCCTTTTAATCTTCACAGTGAAGAGAAAAGCGCCGTGAATGCCAGAACAGAGATGGTTCCGTGCACGGTGTGCGGAAAGGAGATGCAGGCGAGTTCATTGGCCAATCACATGGTCAATGTTCATGGCATTGGAGGGAAGTTTGAGTGTCAATTCTGTCTGAAGAAGTTCCTGCATCAGGGACGCCACAGAGCTCATGTGCCGCTGTGCAGGAAACTCATGTCGCGCGTGCAAGAGTGTGATTATTGTGCCAAGAAGTGCAAAGGGAGGCAATTGCTGGTGATTCACGTGCAGAATCTCCATCCTGGACTGCCAGTTGACAATGTTTGTGAGTGTCTTAAGAAGTGTGAAATTGTTGAAATTCAATCTAACGATGTTTTATTCCCTTTCACAGATGGTCCAGTGAATTGCAAATTGTGCGGAGAATTATTCGAAAGCACACAATTTCTCATAAGTCACGCAAATGTTGAGCATCCAGTTGAGAAGCCTTTTGAATGTAAGACTTGTGGAAATGCATTTGCCAGTGAGAAGGAGAAGGAAATTCATGTGGAAGAAATACATCCAAAGTGAGTTGAAATAGTTACAATTTTAACTCTCGAATTCTATTGTCAATTGATGTTTCATTTTCCTCTTCAATAGGCAAAGATTTCCGTGTCCCATTTGTGGAATTGTGTACGCTAGGCAACATTCACTTGGTCAACATGTGCAGAGACATGAAAAGGACGGTGTTGATGCGTCTGCATTTAAGTTTGAGTGTGAGAAATGTGGACAGAGATTCAGTGATGCGATTAGAGTGAAAAATCACATTTTGCATAAACATTTGAGGTAATTTTGTGAGGTATTTTTGCTTTTCTAACAGAACATTTGTACTCAAAAAGTCTTTCATTTTTCAGTGCTGAAGTGGAAAACACCATTGAGAGGATTGAGAGATCGTCCAGAGTCATGGGATGTTTGTATTGTGGCAAGGAGTGTATCAATCAGGAGCACTTTATGGCGCACATCAATACATTTCATCGTGGACTTCCGATGGAGATTGAGGAAGAGGGTCCGTTCTATTGCAGTGCCTGTCCGAAGATATTCAAGATTTTTGAGGCTCTGCAGGATCACTGCCAGGCGCATCATCCCTGTGAGAATCCCTTCAGATGCAATCACTGCCAGTGGACGTTCGCCAGAAAGCTGGAAATGGAGGCTCACTTGGTGGCGAACAAGCAATGTCAGACGACAAAGAGTCATTCGAGTGAACTGACGTCCTGTGAATTCTGTGGCATTCAGATAACCAGGCGCAATTTTGAGTATCACATTGTGCATCGGCACGGAATTGGGGGAAAGTTTGAGTGTCAATATTGTGCAAAGAGATTTCTCTACCAAAGAGAATTTGGGAGACATGAGAATTTCTGTCGCGACAAGCTGGGCTGGAAGAAGAAGTGTCCCTACTGTCCGAGAGTGTGCAAGGATAGTGAGCTCCTGACACTGCATGTGCACGTCCTTCATCCGGGTCTTCCAGTTGAAATCAAGGGTGAGTTATTTCTTGCCTCTCTCACAATTCTGAATTCTCACAATTTATCCATGACTTGCAGATGATGAAATTCAGTGTGTAATTTGCAAAGAGGAGTTTAAGTATCTTGACAATCTCATGGATCACGCTCGTGAGCAACATCCTGTTGAGAAGCCCTTTGAGTGCCAAATCTGTGGACAATGTTTTGTTGCTGAGCAAGAGAAGAGTTGTCACATGAAGGAAAAACACATGAATTCCGAATGTGAACTTTGTGGAAAGAATTTCTCGTGTGAAAAAGCACTCAGTCGACATTTGCAGCGACACAAGAAGAGAGGAGTTGATGCATCACAGTACAAGTTTAAGTGTGAAAAGTGTGGATTGAAGTTTCGTCGTGAGATTCAAGTGAAATTTCACATTTTGCGACATCATGTAAAGTGAGTTTTCTGTTCTTTTGGACATTTCGAACATTTCTAATTAGAATTAATTCTTTTGTAGTTCATCTCTATCGGATTACACGGGAAAGGCGCCGTACACTTGCAAAGAGTGTGGCAAAATCATGCAACGCAGAGATTATCTAGAGCGACACTTGCTAAAGCATGGCAGTACTAAAGGTGTTCCGTGTGAAAAGTGTGGTAAACTCTTCCTCAGTGAAATGATGTACACGACACACATGAAGAATCATGCGAAGAACAAGGCTTTCAATCCACACCTTTATTCGTTTAAGCATCGTAAGCATGTTAAGGAGCACACGAATCATACCAGATTCAAGCAGTGTTGCTATTGTGATCAGGATTGTCAGAATGAGGAGACTTTCCACAGTCACATGACGACATTCCATCGTGGACTTCCGCTGGAGATTGGCGATGAAGGAGGTCCGTTCGATTGTGGCGTCTGTGGAGTGTCTTTTAAGATAATTGAGGCTCTGCAGAATCACTGTTCGGCTGAACATCCGTGCGAGAAGCCCTTCAAGTGCATGAATTGCCAGGAGACATTCAGCAAGAAGCAAGCAATGATGGATCACTTCCAAGAGAATGAGGAATGCTACAAGTAAGTATTTAATCCACAAACTCTAAGCTTAACATAACAATTTCTCTTTCTTTTTTTCCTCTCAACAGAAATCGATTGAATTGCCGTATTTGTGCTAAACGCTGCAATAATCAATTCAAACTCTTGCGTCACATTCAAAGCCACGGAAGAGAGTTAATCGGTGAGTCGGCATACAAGTATGAATGCGAAAAGTGTGGACAGAAGTTTAGTGATGAGATGAGAGTGAAGCTTCACGTCTTCCGGAAGCATTCAAATGAGAAGAGCTTTCTCAACGATGTGTCAATGGTGAAGACACAGACAGAGCGTCGCAAGATGTCATTTCTGTGCAAGACTTGTGGGCAATCTTTCACAATTGAGAAGAGTTACTTGACACACATTGCGAAGCACACGGCAGAATATAAGGAATGTCCATATTGTGGATTGATTTGCGCCAGTGAAGATGATTTTTTGCAGCACTTGGAGACTTTCCATCGCGGTCTTCCGGTGGAGATGGAGGAGGAAGGACCGTTCAATTGTGGTGTTTGTGAGGAGCGTTTTAAGATAATTGAGGCGCTGATTGATCATTGTTTACTTGAACATCCATGCAATCCACCTTTCACGTGTCTGAATTGCCATGGCGCATTTAGCAGTTTGCGTGAAGTTGCTGATCACTTGCAGCAGAATGGAAAATGTCCAGAAAAGTGAGTTAATTTGATGTCCAATTCACTCATACGTGAAGTAAAACTCACAAAATCTTTTCTTTGCAGTTCAACGAAGACATTCGACTGTGATTTGTGTGGGAGACAACACTACTCTATTCCAGCGTTGAAGCGTCATTTGGTGCTGTCGCACAATATTGGAGGGAAAATCAAGTGCCAACAATGTCCGAGGATGTTTACCTTTCCCAGTGATGTTATCAGTCACACGGAAATGTGCCACAAGCCGAAAATGCAATTGCTAGAGTGTCCGTATTGTGGTGTGAAGTGTGAGAATAAGGAGCGCTTTGTGATGCACGTGGACAGACTTCACACAGGTCTTCCGATTCCCTTGACTGAACCCTTGGAGGACGGTCCCGTCGCCTGTATTGCCTGTGGAGAGGCATTTGAGTGTCTGGATGATCTGAAGAAGCACGCAAGTGTGCAACATTTGCCTGAGGAGGCGTTTGAGTGTAAGACTTGTGGGGAGACATTCGTCACGGAGGTGGAATTGGACAAACACATTCACGAGGGACACTCGAGGTGAGTTTAAGCCACGCCTACTCTTATACTCCGCCCCTTTAACTTCAATTCTTGCATATTCTCATCTTTTAATTGATTTCCTTCCTCATCTGCTTGTCTTTTAGTCCAAAATTCACTTGTATCGTGTGCAAAAACACATTTGAACATCACGAAACGTTGCTGGGACATTTGAAGAGGCATGAAGATGAGGGAATTGACGTCTCTTCATACATGTTTGAGTGTGAAAAGTGTGGATTGAAGTTCACAGAGGAACTTCAAATGCAATTTCACTATTTTCGCAAGCATGTGTTGTAAGTTTGATTTAACATGGGTAAAAAGGACTGTTTATTGACTTATATTTGGTGTTTTCTGCAGAGACAAAATGCTGGCTGAATATGCAGAATCTCTCGCGTGTAAAGAATGTGGCAAAGTGATGGCGTCTAGGTTGAATTTGGAGAAGCATTTCATGCTGCACGATCCCACATTGGGTGTAAAGTGTCCAAAGTGTCCGAGGAGATTCCTAATCAACGGTGACATGGTTTTCCACTCGCGGCGTCACAACAAGAACGTTCCATTCACTTGTAGGATTTGCCAGAAGGCAGTGAAAGGACACATTGAGTACATTGCTCACTGCACGAGTCACACAACAGGCAAATTGTCAGCCAACGAGAGTGTTGAATGTCCGTATTGTGGCCTGTTGTGGAAGAAGAACTTCAGCAGAGAACGCTTTCTCGATCATATGAGGAAGTATCATCGAGGACTTCCGTTGGAAGTTGGTGGACCGTTTGAGTGTCGAGTGTGCAAAGACTTGACATTTGACTCACTGGAGGCCATCAAGAGTCACTGTTTGGCTGAACATCCGTGTGAAATGCCCTTCAGATGTAAGAATTGTCAGCAAATGTTCGGCCACAATGTGGACATTGAGAGGCATTTGCAGGAAAATGTCGATTGTCAAGGTGTTAACAGGAGTTTTCCTCAGAGACGCCGAACAATTGTGGGACATTCGAACTATTGTAGAAAGTGTGGAAAGATTTTTGACACCCAAGAAGATCTGCTGAAGCACAAGGAATCACACGCTGAGGAGTTTTACAGGAGGAGAGCCGAGAAGAATATCTCTTTTGATCCATCATTGCCGTATGAGTGTGAAAAGTGTCATCAGAGATTCCAGACGGAGTTCATTGTGAAGGTTCACATAATGCGTGAACATGTGAGACCAGGATTGAAGGACAAGATGAAGGAGTATTCCCGAATTGGTCCGTTCACTTGCAAGGAGTGTGGAAAGGTGTTCACTGTGAGATACTATCTGGAGAAGCATTTGCTGTTTCACGATCCTTCTCTCGGTGTTTCATGTCCTGAATGTCCGAGGAGTTTTCTGTCTGAGCCCAATATGCTGTTTCACATGAAATCTCACAGAAGTGAGCCAAAAGATCTGTTTGAGTGCAAAGTGTGTGGCAAGAAGTTCATACGGAAGGCCAATTGGGAGGATCACATGTCTGTGCATGATAATACACCGCAAAAGTGCCAATATTGCCAGATGTCAGTGAAAAATATGCAACGTCTCAAGATTCACATCATAAAATACCATCCAGGATTGCCTCACAATGCCAAAGACGATGAACCGGTGAAGTGTAGGCTGTGCAAGAGGAAATTCAACAATCTCAGTGATCTGAAGCATCACACAGCGACGAAGCATCCACTGAAGAAGGCTGTCAATTGTACATTTTGCAGAAAGAAACTCGACAGTGTGGATGATATGGTGAGACATATGGAGGAGGATCATGGAAAGTGAGTGAGAAGAGTTTAATGTACTTAATGTGATAATATTTCTGATAAAATTCTTCCTTTTTTTTCTTCTTCCTAGCGAAAATACCGCTTGCAACATTTGTGGACAAGTTCTGGTCACGAAGTTCGGCATGACGAGACATATGGAAGCGCACGCTTATGACAAAACGTGTCCAATTTGCTCAAAGAGAATCCTGCGAAAATACTACCAGAATCATCTGAACACATGTCAGGAGAGTCAATCGCAGGGAAGTGAGCTTTGTCCACATTGTCCGGCAAAGTGTATCAGCAGAGAAGTGCTGGAGATGCACGTTAGTAAATTCCACACAGGACTTCCTATTGAGATTACAGGTGAAGGGTTTAAAAGGAGCTTTAGAGGTCAGTTTGAATCTCATGCGTGCTTCTTTTTCTTCTACAGATGGACCTCTTGAGTGTACAATTTGCCGAATGTCCTTCGCTGAGGGCATCGAAGCGCTCAAGGATCACGTCGAGGTGGAACATATGGAAATCAACTTGTTCGACTGTGAACGATGCGAAGATTCGTTCAGCAGCAAAGAGCAGCTCTATGATCACATTCGTGCGGCGCATGAAACGCACGATTGCGCAGAATGTGGCGAGAAGTTCAGCAGACGGATCAAATTGGAGGATCACATCAGGCGCCATCACAGGGCTCCGGAGGAGGACGAGGAGGAGGAGAATTACGATGAGGAGGAGGGCCATGGGGAGGACATATGGACGTGTCAGGAGTGCGGGAAGAGCTTGTACAGCGGCAGTGCCTTTAAGCGACACATGGCCAGACATGCGGAGCGCAATGGCGACGTGTGCAGACCGGCGAATTGTCTGTATTGCGATCAGGTGTTCAAGACCAGCGAGTGTCTGGCGGCTCACGTGGCGATGAGCCATTGGAGTGTGGCTGTGGAGTGCAGATACTGCAGTGTAGAGTGCACAAGCAGGCAGAATCTCAGGTATCACGTGAACTACGCGCACACAGGACTTCCAGTGGATGCTCATGGTGAGGAATTTGATTCCTTCTTGTGTTCTCTCTCTAAACTCTCCCTCATTTCTCACAGATGGGCCAATTTCACCGCTGATTTGCAATGTGGCGTTGCTCAATATGGACTCACTACTATATATTAAGCAGGAGAAACCGGCTGATGAGGAGGAGACGGATGTGGAAGTGATAGAGAATGGCGTGCAGTTCATGCTGGAAGAGACAATCCAGCGGAGTTGCTCTCGCTGTGGAGATGTTTTCACCGATGAGGATGAATTCAATAACCATGTTCTTAACCATGGGATAAGCGTGATTGAGGACGAAGACTGTTATTAGGAATTGGAAGAGTAGTTTTTTATTGGCATAAATATGGAATAAATAAAAGATGTCTAAATTAGCTTATATGACATATCATGAGTAATTGGTTTAACGTTAAATTCCACTTATTTAGCTTTTATCCTTTGCTTTTATTAACCGTGTAATTACAAGAAATTCAGTGAATAAGAATTTTCTCTCCCAAAACCGCGAAAACCCCGCAAAAAATTAATGATTCCTTGCCAACTTCACACCCATCGAAGTGGTATAAAAGTGGAGGGGAGGGGATTTCTAAGGTGCGCACATGAGAGCTTCCTTGTTTTCTACGCCAAATCACAGAAAAAAATCATCAAGACAGTTGGGAAAATGGGTGAAACTGCGAAGGAACTAATTACAGTATCTCGTGGAAAGAAGACACACTTCTAGCAGCGTGAAAAGAGTATGAAGATCAATTGTGAGGTTATGTGACATTGTGGGGAATTTCTTACCAGATGACGTCCAGTCAAAACAATCAACAAACAAGAGGCTGATTCGGGATGGAAGTGAAAGAAGAGGTTTTCCTGGATCTCAGCATCGTGAAGGAGGAGTACAGTATTGCTGAAGTGAAGACGGAGCCCAAAGATGGCCAGGAAACCGTGCAGTTTGTCATTGAGGAGATTTCCGAAGAGGAACCCAAAGATTTTCCCTGTTCTCAGTCCTGCACTTGCACTATTTGTAAGAAACTCAAGTAAGAATTCAACTGGAGTTTGTGGGAAGTGTCTTGGAAGGGAGTTTTATGACATTTTCTCCTGTGTTTCAGTGTAAAGCATCAGTCTGAGAAATCCTTGTCGTGTGAGATTTGCGGTCAGAGCTTCAAATTGAGCGTCAATCTGAAGTCACACATGAAGAGTCACGACATCCAGAGTCCATTGAGCTTCTCTTGCTCTCAGTGTGGCAGTGAATTCTCGTCGGCCAAGGCGTTGTCTTCACACGTGGCCAGACATTCTGCCAGCATGAATTGCAAGATCTGCAAGCAAACATTCAAGAATCGCTTCACGCACAGACGCCACCTGAAGACGCACAGCGCAGAGAAGAAGTTCGAGTGCAAGTCCTGCGGTCGGAAGTTCAGAGAAGGATCCAGTCTCAAGCGACACATTTTCCTGCTGCACGAGAAGGTGCAAGAGAAGGACGACACGAAAGTCTTCAAGTGTTCGTACTGCAGTCTTGAGACAGTGGGCAAGATCAAGCACAAAATGCACCTCTTGACCCACACGAGAGTGACAAATGTGGAGTGTTCAAAGTGCCGGAAGAGATTCAACTTGCAGAAGATCTTCTATATGCCCATGAGGAACGAGTCGGACAAGCCGTACATTTGCTATGGGTGCGACATGGCGGTGAAGAGCAAGGAGGAGCACAAGGAATCGCAGCTGAAGCGAGCTGAACACCCCAAGATTTGCTTTCACTGCGATCAGACGTTCTACAATGCGCAGAGCTTCAAGAATCACGTGCAGGAAGCGCATCAGGACGTCTTCGGCGAGGAGACACAGCAAGACGCTCAACGTGGCAGTGATCTAGTGAATTTGATAAAGATTGAGGTGAAAGAAGAGGATTCCAGTTGAGAAGAATCAATGCTTTTAAAATAAAGGATCCCAATAAGATTCTAGTTTGTATTTTATAATTCAAATACTGCTGATCGCGCATGGTGAATATGAAAACTGGTCGAATATGTAACTTGAAACTCGTCTAAACGGGCGATGGTAAAAGGTTTGTGCCGACGCGCGGTGCATTTCATCATCGAATGATGGGAAATATCAAATCTAAGGAGGAAGAAGCAGATGACGAGTGTGCGAAAATGGATATTTACTATCAGAATCCACCAGATGAGCCAATAAACATGGAGATTGAGTGAGTATATGCGGAAATTCTTGTGTTGGGCAGAGATGAGGTTAGACCTCATGAATCGCTTTGCAGAGCTAGAAGATTTTCTCATTTTCCTCAATTTACTGTCCACAGTTTTGCCGCAATGGATTTGTCGGAGGAGCAAAAGAAAATTGATATACTGGCGCAAGATTTGCCTGACTTGGAGGAGCAAATCATGATGATAGAACCGCCAAATGACCAGAATTGTAATGATCAGACGCTTTCCTACACGACAGTGGAGTACGTTTGTCCCTTTTGCAGCTCGTCTTTTGGGGTGAGCGAAAATGCAATTTCCCACATTGTGCGACACTTGAATGAAGTGGCTGCACAGCCGGAAACACAGCCCGAGACAGCTCCAAAAGCCCCAACAGATCAACTGTTTCAGTGTGAAAAATGCAACGCGGAATTCATATACAAACACACCTTAAAGCTTCACCTCAAGAAATTCCACTTCAGGTACAATGAAATTCGGGAAAATTGTAGTTAATGTCTCTCAAGATATTTGTCTAAAGGATTCTTACACTTTCAGCCACGTGAATTGGTTCTCGTGCAAGATTTGCGGCAAAGGATTCAAGGCGAAAGCTGAACTGGTGAAGCACAGAAGCGATCACAAGTGTTCGTATTGCCAGGAAACGCTTCCACTTGATGTGCCCCTCAAGATTCACGTGAGAGACAATCACAAGGGCCTCCCAGTGAGCGCCAGAGGTAAGTCTGAAGTTCTTCTTCTTAGAAGGATAGTGAATAATCATGCTTTTCCCTCTCTACAGATGGTCCAATTTCGAAGCAGATTTGCTGCGTTCTTCTGGATCACATGGAGATTCAGCATTACTACGATGCCAGAGAGGCGGAAGCGGACAGTGGCGTTTACTTCGAGGTGCTGGTGGACTTTGGGGATGTTTATCCAGCTGAAGACAGCAACGGTGTGGCAATGAACACCACAAATGAGTGAGTTTCAGTCGTTTCAGTTGAGTTTTCACTGATAAAATTTAGCTAAATTTCCTTCAAAGACTACATTGATCGTTTCTGATGCTCTCCTTTCATAGAAGCACTGCTGCAAAGGGCAGTGAGGACTCTTTCGCATGTCCTGAGTGTCCGGAAGTCTTCAGGACAGAATCTGCAATGATTCGTCATCTCTTGAAGACAGAGAAGATCAACTGCGACGTGTGTGACAAAGTCTTTGCGTCCAGGAGGAGTCTTGCAGCTCACTCAAGGCATCACGTGAAGCGTAATGTCCATAGTGTGATGTCACGAGTCAAGAAAACGCATCCAAGGAAGCCTCAAACATGTCCGTACTGCAATTCAACGTACAAACACAAGTATTTTTACACCAAACACATCAGAACAACTCACAGAGGACTTCCGATTACGATTCACGGTGAGTTTTACATTTGATTTCATCTTTTTAGAATCTTTATTTTATCACCTCTATCTCTATGATGAAATGAGTGTGATTTGTCATCTGTACATTGCAGATGGTCCCGTTTCGAAGGAGTTTTGCAGCGTGTTGTTGGAGAGGCTATTCGTTTAGTTACCGCAAAGTATTCACTTTCATTCCTTTTTTCACGAGATTTATTGAATTATGTTCCAATTAAATGAAGTTAAGCTTTAGCAATCGAACTTACCTCCAATCCACCATCGAGAGTGGCGCATTCAGGCTGCTCGCCAGCGTCCACACTCACTCTGGGCGTTGTTCTCTCCACGCGTGTCACCAGGAGACGCTCGTCATCCGATGGATCGGATCTCGTGGGCGTGGGAATGTTGTCCGCCTCGCAGATGGCTTTCACGACGCGCGTCATCGCGAGTGGCGGCAAGCTTCTGCTCAGCCGGAAGCCAGCCTTTGCGGAATCCTCCGTGAGGGAAAACCTCACGCGGCTCTGTGTCCTCATGCCCAGGAGCTTCTGCACGAGTGTGGCGCGATTTGGGTGCAGCTTGGAGTGCTTCCGGGCACCGCCATGACCCAGACCGCCCAGGAACTTTGCCTCTGCCGGCGCAGGGGCGAAAGGGTGGGCAAAGTTGCGACTGGCGAATGGCGCATCACTGCGGATCACTTCGCGATGCCAGCGCGATTGGCGAGGACCCTCGAGGACGGAGCTGCGAGTCCTGGTGCTGGACTCATGAGCAGTGTCCTCCAATTTAGTGGAGATGGACGACAAACGCGGGAAAACGCCACTCATCGCGAGAACCGGAGAGACTTTATTGATTTAATAAAAAATCGAATTGTTGCCGGCTCGCGTTGCTGGGCAGAAATTGAGACGTGACTGGGTGATGCAGGCAACGAAGTGCCCTTATCTAATCAGGGTTTTGTGATATCAAATCAATTTGAGCGCGTCAATGTTGTCAGTGTAGTTTTGTGCAACCATGACAAATATTCGTCCCATCGCTCCGGAATTGGTGAAAATTGCCAAGGAGGAGCTCAATGAGGTGCCTGAGAGGATCAGTGAGGATCTGGAGGCTCTCAGAGAGTGGATAAGGAAGCAACCGCACTTGAAGGCCCGAACAGATGACCAGTTCTTGGTGACTTTCTTCAGGGGATGCAAGTGGAGTCTCGAGAGGACAAAGCAGAAGTTGGACACCTTCTACACTGTGAGATCTGCCCTCCCGGAATTGATACACCACCGTGATCCGCTCGAGAAGAGGACTCTGGAGGTGATTCGGATGGGATTTGTCATGCCACTGCCGCTAACTGAGCGTCCAGATGGTCCGAGAATTATGCTGTTCAGGCCGGGAGTTTACAATCCGACTCTCCACACAATTCACGAGATGATTCGGGTCAGTCTGATGGTGAATGACATCTTGCTGTGCACGGATGACAATCGCAGCATTGCCGGTCAGATTGGGATTGTTGATCTCGCTGGTGCCACAATGGCGCATCTGGGCCAGGCGAATGTGGTGCTGATGAAGAAGTTCTCAATGATCACTCAAGACGCCTCTCCGTTGCGCCAGAAGGGCTTCCACTTCGTCAATGCGCCCTCGGGCTTCGCCACTGTCTACAATCTGGCCAAAGGAATGTTCAATGAGAAGATGCAGCAAAGAGTAATGACCACAAAATCCCTTTTCCAATTGCCTCTGCTGAAGATTGTCCCTCTTTCTTTCAGTTCCGCGTTCACACAGACCGCGAATCGCTCTTCAAGTGCATCCCCAAGAGACTCCTGCCCAGCGAATACGGCGGAGAAGCTGGTCCCATTCAGAAGATCATCGATGATCTAGAGAAAGATCTGATTGGTGCGAGGGACTTTTTCAGGGAAGAGGACAACTTCGGAACGAATGAGAAGAGACGCATTGGACGCCCAAAGAATGCAGAGACTCTCTTTGGTGTGGAAGGATCTTTCAGGAAGCTACAAGTTGACTAATCCTGCAAGGAGAAAATAGTACAATTAAAATATGTAAATTTTCCAGTGTATAATTGATAAATTTCTCTATAGAATCACAATTGAAGAGTTAATCAATTTCCAATTTGCGGAAGGATCCTTGAGTGCCATAAACCTCCTCCTTTTTCTTCCCGTTGATCCTCTTGCTCTCATCCACACCGTACTTCTCCTCACTCATTAAATACTCTCGGTTGTCGATGAGTCTCTTCTCCCAGGAAGCCAGAAGTTCAGAGATACTCCCAGCTTGACCTCCGTACTCCTGTGGAAGGATTCTCTGCGGAACAATCTTGATGATTGACTCCACGCCGTTTCCGTGCACTTGGAACTGAAATGAGGTCTATTGGTTAACCCGATGCTTGAGATTAATCCGATTGTATCCTTACTCTCTGGCGCACTTTCTCCTTCATGAAGTTCCTGAATGCTCCGAAGGCCACCTCGAATCCTGCCGCTGTGTTGAAGAAGTGGAATCCCTTCTGGCGCACCGGTGTCGCCTCGTGAGTCAGCATGGCGAACTTCTTCATCAGCACCGGCGTGAGTTGCAGGAAGTGCTTCATGGTGGTGTTCTCCATGTCCACGAGCACCGTCTCACCGGCGCACATCCTGTTGTCGTCCTGCGCCAGCTGCAAATCGGCAATCATCAGGCTCACGCGCAGCACGTCGATGATGGAGAATTGGTCAGGATTGTAGCATCCGTAGCGAATGAGAACGACACGTGGACTGTCCGGTGATTCTGTCTCGGGCAGCGGAATCAAGTAGCCCAGCTTCATTATTGCCAGATTCTTCTCCAGCACTGGATCTCTCGGACTCATGACTTCATGCACCACCGTTCGAGCTGTGTAGTAACTGTCGATCTTCTCCTTGGCCCTCTCGAGGCTCCACTTGCAGCCGCGCAAGAAGCCAACGAGGAATTGATCACTTGTTCGCGCTCTCAAGTGCGGTTGCTTCCTTATCCACTCCTTGAGCGCCTCCAGATCCTCACTGATCCTCTCGGGCACCTCATTGAGCTCCTCCTTGGCGAGCTTTGCCAATTCCGGTGATAATTCTCTGATCTTCTCAGACATTTTCTGCACTTTTACTAGACAATTCACGTATGACTGGATATAACTTGCGACCGGTGCAGACTTTTCACCAGAAGCAAAGATAAGATAAATCTCTCATAGAGAGAGATTGTGAGTCAAAAAGCCAATTCACCGCTTCTTCAAGTGGAAAGTCAACAAAGGCGTAGGAAATAAGATTCTTTTGCAAAGTGCAATAAAATATTTTTGTTGTTTTTAGGCGTTTTTAAGCACAGAATTGTTGGTAAATTTCAATTGAAGTCATATGCAAAAAAGGATGCTTAAGAATTCAGTGATAAAAGTGTAATAGTTCGACTCTGTGAGTGGAATCTTTTGTGAAATGACTACAAATCCACTCAATAGCCTGATAAATGGTCACAATTTCGTTTTATCTTATCACATGAAAATACACGAGATCCCAGCCCAAAACACCATCCATGTGATCCAGTGCCTTAAAAGCGTCCTAACCGGTGACAAGAAGCATCAAAGCACGCGCGAAAATGGCGAAGATTCGACCGCTGAATCGAGAGTTGGAGATTGTGGTGCGAGAGAAGCTGCACGAGGTGCCCGAGAGGATCGAGAAGGATCTGCAAGCGCTCAAGGATTGGCTGGCCAAGGAGCCCCACTTGATTTCCCGCACCGATGATCAATTCCTGGTGGCCTTCTTGCGGAACTTCAAGTACAGCCTGGAGAAGAGTAAGGAGATGATCGACAACTACTACTCTGTGAGAAGCACAATTCCGGAGATGAGGAAGGATCGGGATCCAGTTAGTGAGCAGAACAAGGCGATTATCAGGACGGGATACTCCCTGCCGATGCCCAATTGTCCTCCTGGCGGATCGAGAATCTACCTGAACAGGATAAGTGTGTTCGATCCCAACAAGTTCACCATCTACGAGATGCTGAAGGTGGCCAGCATGATAAATGACATCGCCATCATGGAGGACGATAATTGCGTTGTGGCTGGACATGTGGACATCATCGATCTCAAGGGAATGACGACGGCCCACTACATGACCTTCACGCCAACGGTGCTGAAGAAGCTGATCATGATTGCGCAGCAAGCGACTCCGCTGCATCAGAAGGAGATTCACTACCTCAATCTGCCCTCATCCATGATGACGCTCTTCAACATGTTCAAGAAGCAGATGATTGAGAAGAGTGGCGTGAAGATTCACGTGCACGCCAGCCTGGAGTCCCTGCAATCGGCCATACCGCTTGAGTTCCTGCCCGAGGAGTACGGCGGCACGGGCGGAAGCTTGCCGGACATCATTGCGGGGTGGGAGAAGAAGCTGGCGGAGAGAAGACAGTGGTTCCTGGACGATGAGAAGTACGGCACGGATGAGAGCAAGAGGAAAGGCACACCCAGAACGGCAGAATCACTCTTCGGCTTCGAGGGATCTTTTCGTCAATTGGAATTCGACTGAGAGAAGCAATTATCTTTATTGAGCTGTTAAGATAAGATATCAATAATACATCACTGAGGAAAATTTTTGTTTATTCAATCCAAATTCAGCGTTCTGAAAGATCCATTTGGTCCGAAGAACTCCTGCGTGGCATCCTTGTACGGTTTCTGACGCTTTTCCTCATCCACACCATATTGCTCTTCGTCTTCCTTGAACCACTCAGAATAGGTGATCAGCTTCTGTTCCCAGAAATCAATGATATCCTCAATCTTTCCCGCTTCTCCGCCATATTCGGTGGGAAAGAGCTTCCTGGGAATGCACTTGAACAGCTCTTCAGTGTTCCGATGAACGTGAATCCTGTTCCTCTGCTTCTCATTCACGAATCCCTTAAACATGTTGAAGATCGTCTCGAAGCCTGGAGGAGTGTTGATGCAGTGCGTCTCAATTTGTCGCATAGGATTTGCTTTCTGCGTCAAAAGGGTGATTTTCCGCATGAGGCCAGGATTCATTTGCATGAAATGACCAGCAGAAACATCAGCCAAATCGAGGATATCTATCTGGCCCGCTATCATCATGTTATCGTCCTCCAGCAGCAGCACATCTCCAATCATATTGCCCACTTTCATCACATCGGCGAAGGTGAAGAGCGCAGGATCATAGGCTGCCGGACGGATCAGCATTATCCTGGGCTTTCCTGGCGCTTCTGTCAGTGGAAGAGGCAAACCCACGCCCGTCCTGATGAGCTTCCTGGTCCTGAATTGAAATTTTAATTGGAAAATAGTAACTTTTTGCAAATCATTAGTCCTTTACCTCTTATCTAGAGGATCTCGTCCTTTCATCAGTTCTGGAATTCTTCCTCTGAGCGTGTAGAAGTCCTCAATCTTCTCCTTGGCCCTCTCGAGGCTCCACTTGCAGCCGCGCAAGAAGCCAACGAGGAATTGATCACTTGTTCGCGCTCTCAAGTGCGGTTGCTTTCTTATCCACTCCTTGAGCGCCTCCAGATCCTCACTGATCCTCTCGGGCACCTCATTAATCTCTTCCTTAGCTACTTTGGCTAATTCTGAACTGATCGGACGAATATTAATCATCTCTAATTGCGAGAAAAACCTTCTACTGACTGACTTTCTCTCCCCATTCGATGTCTTCAGACAGACTTATCTTGATCCTTCTATGTGATTAGATAAATCCAGAAGTGCGATCGTCAAGTGCAATTTTCACTGACCACCCGCAATTGGCTACTGAACACTTGCTTGCAAAATGTGGGTGTTGTAAAATGTAGCGACATGGGGAATATTTATAGTTGTGTACATTCTCGAAAATAAATTTCGCGCTATCGCGGCTTTGTCTCGTGAAAATCTGGCGACCAGACGCACTGGTAAACTTTATGTCGCTCCAGAGATGGCATTTCGTCGTGTAAACTTTGTAATTTCACTGTAATTTAGTGAGAAAAGGAGCATTTGTACATTTGGCGCCATAAAATACACTCAACTCTCTATGATCTTTAATTGCATTTCTAGTTTTTATGATTGCAAAAATTACCTCTGCATGTTGACAATTCGCAGAAGAGTTGCTTTTCCGTGTAATTAATCAAGTGAGCACATCTTCTAAATTCTTGGCAATTCATTCTCTTTTCTCTTTCGCCTTCATTCATTGTGTATTTTCGTTTCAACTCTAATTACTGTTTTCAATTGCTCACGCGCACTCACGGCTGATCGCGACGTGAGCCAAAGGTTTCCCGCAATTTTTCACTCACATTCGTTCGCTCACTAAATCATTGTCAAGTGTTTTATTGTGATTTGCTGATCGTGAAAATGATGCAGAAGCCCAATTTTGTCTACGCCTTCACGAAACTGGTTGAAGATCCAGACGGAAGGAGAAGAGTGGTGACCATTGAGAGAGGGTGTGTCTGATTAAGGGTGTTTTTTTTCGAGTGGTTTCTCACTGTGGTCACTCTTTAAGGTCGGTTGTGAGGCATTCGCGGTACAATTGCAGTGGCATTTCAGCACCCAAAGGACACTACAAGTACTCAACCAGGGCTTTTCGCGGCGGATTGTCAGGATGGGGTGATAATTTCAATCCTGCGGATCAGTTTTTCAAGGTAAGACACTCTTAATTCTCCAGTGCAATTGTGATTAGCAATGAAAAATCACAGATTTCGCGAAGAAAATTAGTAAATTACGGTGGAAAATGAAAAGAAATGCGTTATTATAGTGAATGATAATAATAACAACACGGATAATTTATACTTTCTTTTGTAATCCTCTTAATACTACAACCTACATTTCCCAATTTCTTGCCAGATAAACTTTACATAGCATTAGATAAGGAGTCATCAAGGCTTCAACTCTTGAACTAGATAGATAAAATCCAGATAAAACACGTGTAAGATGCGTAAAACACTTAGATTTGCCGTGTTTTTGCGAGAAGCTTTTCAGTTGCATTTCGTCTTTGAGGAAGAATTGTTGTTTTGCGCAAAAAAGTGAAATGTCTTTTGAAAACGCTAAAGAGTATTTTGAGGGAAATAATTTTACATTCACCCTTACGAGAAATATTCTCGATGAGTTCTTCGACTGGATAGAGTGGAGAAAGGATGGGAAGGATTCGCTTTTAGACATCGGCAGTGGGCCTGGAAATACTCTTCGTGAGATATTTTATCCTCGATTGTCGTCCAACTTCTCCAGACTCGTGCTTTCGGACATCTCTGAGCCAATGGTTGAGCTGCAGAAGAGGGAATTCGAGGGAATTGAGCGAGTTTCGTGCGAAGTGTTGGATATTGGAGTGGAAATTGATGGGAATTTGGCGAGAAAACTTGGAACTTTCGATCATGTGACGTCATTTTTCTGCTTGATGTGGATTAAGGATCAACAGCAGGCCATGGACAACATCTACAGCCTTCTTAAGCCCGGTGGCGATTGCTTTCTTGTGATTTCAACTGACACTCCGGCTATCGATGCAATCTTGTCGGTTTGTGAGAAGCCTCGATGGAAGGAATATTTCACAGGATGGGAAGATTTCTATGCCTTTCCGTACAGGAAAATCAATGAAGCTAAAGCTAAGGCTGTAAATTTCATGGAGAAATCAGGATTCAAAAATCTAAGAGTAGAATTCGGGAAAGTTCCTTTTGAATTTGGCTCTGATAGAGCAAAAGAGAATTTCCTCAAATCAATGCCAAATAAATTCGCCAAGAATGTTACAGCAGAAGAAGAAGAGGAAATCTTCCAAGAACGTCTTCAATACTTCGATCAATTCGTACTTGGACAGTATCGAGATAATACTGGGAGAATTTATAAGCCAAACAGCTATTTGATTTTATATGGAAAGAAGGGTAAATAAAAGTGTGATTTCTTCACCGATTTTAATCATCTTTGGTCTGAATGAAACACGTGATAATTTAGGAAATCACCTGGAATTCCTCACACATTCAACACTTCTTGAGCCTCTGTCTCATGGGAAACAGCGCTAGACCCACAAATTAACTCGGGTTTCCCGCTAAAATTCGTGATTCAGACCAAAACGTCGACTTCTCGTTCCCGCCAACGCACTTTGGATTCGCTTATAATATCTTTTCTCGTTTCCTCAAGCGCGATTTCCACTCTCTCTTCAGTCTCTCTCGCGTCAAGTCACATGTTGAGAGTTCTCTCTGAGTTCATGTGCATTTTCAGGGTTACGAGAGCAAGTACGAGAGAGTTAAGCTCCGTTCAGTGTGCTCTCAGTCTCTCTTTTGTGTGGATTTTGTGAATCGAACTCTCTGTTTTGGTGTTCATATCTTGACAGCACTTTGAGCATTTCGCAAGTTGATTCGTATTTTCTTGTGAAAAATCACCTCTAGCAGAGTGTTTTGCGGTGCTGTAGTTGCTAATCTCAAAGTTAATCCGGATAATATTGTATCTACGGTGATTAAGTGGTCAAAGCCTACTGAATCCACTTTAGTTTTTACCGCCTTTTATGGTCCGGGTTTTGGAAACGTGTCTCTTCTGTGAAGCTTTCAACCTTGACACGCTTGCTTTAGCGGCCAAAAATTGCGAATTCCCAGTGAAAAGTGATATTTTCTCTTAGAGAAAAGTGTAGGAAAATCACAGAAAGTGACACTAGTGTTGCCTGTAGCGAAAATGGCTTTCAATTACTACCCGAAAAATTGGCACGCCAATGGAATGGGATGGCACAACACGGCTGCAATGCAGACTGGGTGGAAAATACCGCCCCCTTCGGTCCCCAGGGCGCCGGATGCGTACTCCACGGGCAGCTCTTCTTCAGGAGTGTCCAGCATGTGTCCATATCCCACTGGTCCAGCCCCAGGAATACCCGGAATGCCGGGAATGCCCAGTAAGATGTTTGCGGAGTTTCCCGTCATTTTCCACCCACTGATTTTGCCTCTCTTGCAGCTCCCAACTCTGCCTATGGCTTCGTGATGCCTCCTCCGCTGCCCCAGATTCCCGGAGGCGCTCCTCTGTATCCTTCTCTGGGTGAAATGGGCTTCGGCGGAGGATCAGGCAGTCTCTCATCGTTCGGATCAATTGTTTCTGATCCAAATCCTCCAGTTGTGCCGCCCACAATCTCAGGCTATGGACTTGAGGAGATTCCCTGCAATGCTGTAAAAGTTCCTGAAGACCAGTCGTCGTTTTTCACGGTAATTCTATAGTTATTTTTAGCACGAAGCCGTCCTGAATTCGGGTGTCTTGTCTATTTTTCTTCATTTTCTGGAGAAAAATGGCTCCAAAAATAGCTTGTGACTATGTGTCTTGTTTCTGATTCACTCTCTTCGTCCTCTCAAGCATTGAACCGAGTGTTAAAGGCAATTATTAAGTGCGAGAGAGATTAAATATTGTTGGAAAATTCGGTGAAATGTCTGAAAACTCCTTGGCTCTCTGCCAAATTCACTCATTTCTCTCATGTAAACCATACATATTGGTGTAAATTGACTCAAATTGTTTTCATACGATAGTTATTGGTGCTTTCTCGAGGAAATTGATCAAAATCTCAAAGAATTTCGCGGAAAATTCACCAAATTGCGACGGTTGTGCTGTGAGTTGGAATTCAAAAAAGAGCGCCATCAGGCGGCTGGCTGTCAGTCGGTGACGTCATCAGAGTGTTTGGTTGTGCGTTTTGTTTGCTCCACTTCAAGTGCTTTTTGTCACGTTTCCAGCGTCTTATCTCACGTTTTGGACGTGATAATGTGCAGAGTGTGGATGGTGTAGTACGAAAAAGCCGGTAAATTGTGGAATTTGGGTGGTATTTGGGGTGAAAAAGACACATCAAAAATTCCCAGTGATGTCATCCGGAGACTGGCTTCAGTGCAAAGCTTCCCAGGCTATTTTTGGCCAGCCAATTGATTGGGTGGGGCTGCAAATCACTCAGTAGTGCTCCCCGGTGGTCAAAGGTTGGGGCCACACCGAAAGAATCCCTCGCCAGACGGCCTGGCACCGAGGAAATCGATGAAAACTCACCCTGAGAAGGGGAAATAGGAATTGAGGTTAGATATCAAGGTGAATGCCTTAACGATTTTCCCGATTTTCCTCACTTTTTGGGTCATTGTTTGGGGCTTTGGGGCGTAGAGGCGCCTCCCAGGCTTCCTAATCGATTTAATCAGTGCTAATTCACCTTCATTTCCACTCATCTTCAAGGCCTTGGCGAGGCATATTCGTCACTGATGACGACACATTCCCACCTTATTATTCACCTTTTTGATCAAAACACGTCTTCTTTATTGCTTCCTGCCTGTTTTGGAGCGCGATTCGCACGCTATAGAATCATTGGGAGAGCTTTGCAGTGAAAAATTCAAGTCTCTGGACGCGATATCAGTGAGAAAATCAACAATTGTGGTGCATTTTTGCAGGTTTTGCAAGTCTTTCAAGCGTTTTCCTCCCTCCTGAAGCCCTCCTAGATCCCTTCCACCCCCCTCCAAGGAACCATGGATGATGCTCTGCAGGGATTGTTTAAGGGCGCCGGGCAGAAGCTCTTCAATGCGGCTGGAGAGGCTCTCGTTGGCGCCGCTAAGGAATACCTTGGCAATGCCATTCAGGAGATCTTCGTGAAGAAGGAGGCCGAGCACAAGCGTATTCTGCCCAGCATCAAGAATATGAAAGTTGTGAGTAGCCAAGAGAAGGTAGAAAAGTTGCTAAAATAGCGTTAAGAAGTGAAAAAAAAAGATCGCCCAACGTGGGGCTCGAACCCACGACCCTGAGATTAAGAGTCTCATGCTCTACCGACTGAGCTAGCCGGGCACTTGTGTCTCAGCTGGCAACAACTCCATCATCACTTGTCGTCTCTCATCGGATTCTCATAGTTAACCCTTTAGAGGTCGATTTCTCCCCATCTTCGTGCGCCCTTTTGCATCATTTGCATTCTCATGCTGCCCTTTGGCAATTATTGTGCAGATGCGTGCAGAATTATGGATTTTTCGCGGGGTGACCGTGAATCTTGTATTAATTAGTTTACATGTTTTCCGCGTGAAACCTTCACAGTTCATTAGAGATGCTTATGGACGTTTAATTGCACTGTGTGGTGCTGTAGCGTAAAATGTAGCAAAAAATATGGGATTATGGTGATAATTCCATTCAATTTCTCAACAAAGACAATTCATGAGAAGAGAAATATTAATTATTCACCTGAATGAACACATGAAGAATTCGTAGAAGTTTTATTTCATGCTAGAATTCTACAGTTTTAAACCGGCGAAAAGCCCTTTAAGTTTGTTTACTCTTTAAACTTGATTTTAGTCACACTCTCTTAAATTCTCATCAGTTTTTTGGGTGAAATCACGTTAATTCGCACACTTTCTATCTTCACACGCAAGAAGACGCTCAATTAAATACTTTGCTGTCCATCAATGGGTTAATGGTTCAATTGTGCGCGTTTTAATTCCACCAATTGTTGCATTGTCGCCAACAATAGACGCACTTTTTCATGCACTCTATCTCTGGCTCACCTTCTAAAGCCACAGCCTTTGTCGCGAATGAGATCACTGGGAATTATCATCGGATAATTACTTAATTCTCCTCTCACGAGCACTTCCTCAGAAGCGTTCTCTCCCTCTCTCACGAGCTTATGACTTTGTGATAGTGTGATTGTGATAAGAGAGTTCCAAAAAATCACAGTCGACAGTTTGCGCAGTCGAGACGAGTATTTTCGTCAATCGCGAGATGTTTAGATCGCTCTCGAGATTGCCAAGTTAGTCAGTGGAGAGACAGTGAGTGGTGTAAGTCACGTGAAGGGTGATTTTTTTTCTTACAGTGAATTGAGAAGCGAATTGAGGGGAGAAAAATGAGCGATGAGGATGAATTGGAGGAAATTTCGGAGGAATTTTCACGCGTTTCTGCTAGAGTTGCTCGTCTCTTGCCGAGTATAAAGTTTTTCAAGAAGGTAATTATCAACTGGCAGCAATTTAGTGTGTCCTTCCCTCAACTGGGAGGGACTTGGGAGTGTCCGCGTTGAGTGATGATATGGGAATTTTGCACGTCCGTGCTGGAATTGGCGTGTCTGGTTGAGCTTTGGCGCCAGGAAAATCGATTTTTTCTCACACATCTTCATATGATTTTCTTCTTGTCTGCGAAGCAACAGTTTGCTGTGAAATTTGTAGTTTTCCACTTAAATTTTATAGGTTTGCGAAATGATTCTGAATCGTTTGTGATGACTGTGATTTTACTATTATGATGAGTCACAATGAAAAAAGAAGAAAATAGCAACAAGACAGACGAATATATCTTACCTTTTGTGACATATAAATTGTCAAAGTTTCTTTAATGTTGGTTGTAAAAAGTGAAGGTTTATCATTATGGGTAATTTATTTAGTGGATATTGAGAGATATTTGGTTGTAAGACTGATAAAAGTATTCTTTGAAATCTGTGTTTATTTCTTTGAACTTCTTATCGTAATATTAATGTTGTTTTAAACGCATTAAAGTGACGGAAATTGCAAGTAAAGTTAGTGGAAAGTCTTATCATTTTGGCTAAAAGATATACCAAAAAGGCGAAGAAAATGCCAGCTATTGTAGTTAATTAAGTATCCATCCATTTATTTAACTTTGTATATGTGTATATTACATCAAGTCTTGGCTATAGCATGGCAAAGAGAAAGCTTTTTGAGGATAGATTTGTGACTTCTGGCGTTCAGTCAGTCTGGCCAGTGAGCAAGATGGCATCCTCGGGCAGAGCCTGTCGCTTGTAGCGACTCTCAGTGGCGAGATAGACCACCAGACCGGCGAAGAGGATGACAAAGAGAGCGATGAAGTTGACAAGGATGCCTTGGGCGGGAAGATTGGCGTAGTCACTCTTCAGGGTGAAGAAGATCTTCTCGGAGAAGCCAAGGAGAGCCGTGGCGGCGGCCGCAACGAAGCCATAGAGGCCGAAGAGGACGTGATAGGGCATAATCTTCTCCCGCAGTGGTTGACTGAGGCCAGGAGCGAGGAATGAGATGAAACCCACCAGGTACTGAGCAGAGAACAGAATGACGGCCAGCAATCCTAGCCAGGAGTGCATGGAGTAGAGATTCGGGATGGGCGGTGAGGCGAGATCGTGTGAATCGAAGACGGCTTTGAGCCCTAGAACGGTGGCCAGGAAGGCCAGACCGTGCAGAGTGGCATGAGTGATCTTCAGGTTGCGCTTCTTCGTCATGCGAAAGCCACGGTAGATGAGAATGGCGTTGCCGTAGAGGAAAATCATGCCGATGGTCATGAGGAGTGGATGCCAGTTGAACTGCACGGCGGGATTGCTGTGCCACGCCAGGCCGCCGAGGTGGGAACCAATCCAGCCGCCCACGAGGATCACTAGAAGGAGGCCCACGAGGAGTGTGCCGAGGTAGAGAGAGTTGAAGTGACCTAAATTCGATGCTCCAATTTCCTCCATTGCGTTTTTCTGCAAAAAGGGGGGTGGAAAAGTGGTAGATTTTGAACTAGAGAGGCTAGTTTATCACCTCTAAATCGATAATTTCCGGATAAGCCGGTAGTTGACAGTCTTTTCAAAGTGTTTGTCGAAGAGTTAAAGAATTTATTGGGATTTTTTTTTGATTTCTATCTCTTCACTGATATTTGATTAGTTCAGAAAAGCTGTGACTTTTCCTAATTTCTTCAATATGATAAAATTCTATTGAAAATAAGGCGAAAATTGAATGATTTTGATCATTTCGGGTGGATAAATTCACACTGTGATGATATTTGGATCAATACAGTGAACACCAGATGTTCAAATAAAACACTGTGATACGCAGTGTTTGTAAAAATTTCACTTACACGCGCTTAAGAAGGCAATGATTTTCACATGAAAAGATAACCTCTTGAATTGAGAGAAACAGCTTGGAAAGATATACAAAGAAGAAAACAGGCAAAATCAAGGCAGTTTTTCCACTAGGGAAAGTGACATATGTTGAGTTGGGGGTTTTCCGAGGAAAACAGCTGTAAATGTGTCAAAAATGTGTGTGAAAAGTTGTGTGTTTACTCACAATTTTGTAAAGACTAAATAGAACCACAATTACATGTGAAAAATATCGATAAATTTCACTGTATTTGCACAAATTTGAGTTGCAACTTGAGGAGCAAAATGGGAATTGCGTGTTGCTCGATTCACTAAAAACACTCCCAATGAGTCTGAGAGATGAAGGCGAAAATTGGGGGAGACTCGGTCAGATGGAGATATCTCACTCTCTCTCTGCCGTTACAGACGCTGCACATCTCTTTTCGTCGCTCGTGTGAGCTTTTTTCTAAAGGGGGGAGAAAATTTTGTGATAAGAGAGGAGATGCTTTTGATGAAACCTGCGCAACAAGTAATGGAGTTTGTCAGTCGATATGCACACAGTACAGAAGGATGGATGAAATCGATAAATTCCACACCGGCAACGTGTGTCTGTGTGGGTGGGAAAACAGAGGAATTTCCCTGGTATTTTTCATCACTCAGAGAGAGAGTGAAATATTGTGCGGATGATTGAGGAATCTTAAGTGACCATATGTTGAGTTTTGGTTGAGGGTTTGGTTTCCCGCCCAATTTTTTTTCCCGCCGCTAATTTATCACCCAATTTTCATTTTATCAATGGCAGCGATAAGAGAGATAGAGAATTGGTGTATAATAGCGTAAATTTCCCAGTAATTTTGACTCCCAAGTGAGAAAGTGTGACAACATTTTTCTCCATGGGTTTGTTAGCGCTCGGAGGGAAGGTTTTTCCTTTATGTTTGAGAGTTTAGTTGGTAGTCAAGTGTGGTCAATTGAGGACAATCAGTCGTGAGTTGCTCCTCGAGCGTCGCGGTTCACGATTTGAGGAGGTTTTTTTTTCTTCTTTAAGCCAAAATTCTTTGTCTGTGATTTTTATCGCGTGTGTGAAAATGTCCAAAACTCACCCGAAGAGTGAACCAAAACCGATTATTTTCTCTGAGATGGATTGTGAGGAATTGATTGAATGCTTGAGAGTGACTCAAGTGGAAAATGTAAATTTGGGAAATTTGTCAATTGGCGTTGTGAATTTTACAACTGACCATTTGCCTTTGATTGATGACGATTGTGATAAAATTGTGCCTGAATCTGCAGAGAAGACGCATTATGTTGGGGAAAAGTCATGGAAGAGGGAGAAAACTTTCGATGGTGCACCGATATTTCGTGTAAAAAGAAAATAAATGCATGGAAAATTTGGGATTTGACGAAAGTGTAATTCAAAAATTATCTTCTGTTTGCAGCTCGGCGAGCGTGGAAGTGGCTTGAGATCGCGAGGTGATGTCCAGGACTTCCACACACTCAGGCAACAGTGTCTCGCGTCGGGCACACTGTTTGAGGATCCCGAATTTCCGGCCGCGGACAGTTCACTCCAATTCTCCCGTCGTCCGGATCGCTATGTCCAGTGGCTGCGTCCGATGGAGATTGCTGACGATGCCCAGTTCTTCGTTGAGGGCTATTCGCGCTTCGATGTGCAGCAGGGCGAACTTGGTGATTGCTGGCTTTTGGCGGCTGCGGCGAATCTCACGCAGGATCCCAAGTTGTTCTTCCGCGTGGTGCCTGAGGATCAGAGCTTCTCCGAAGACTACGCTGGCATCTTCCACTTCCGCTTCTGGCAATATGGTCGCTGGATTGATGTGGTGATTGACGATCGTCTGCCGACGTATCGTGGTGAATTGCTGTACATGCACTCGACGGAGAAGAATGAGTTCTGGAGTGCGCTGCTGGAGAAGGCGTACGCCAAGTTGCATGGATCGTATGAGGCGCTCAAGGGTGGCACAACGTGTGAGGCGATGGAGGATTTCACGGGTGGTGTGACGGAAATGTACGATCTGAAGGTGAGTTTTTGTTGGTGTGAATTGAGAGTTATGCTACATCAGCGGAAACATACAGGATTTACGATCTTAGCGATTGGATGAACACTTAGATAAGACTGGAATTGTGACAGTTAAGTGGAAAAAGTAAAGAGAAGTGACCAAATTCTCATTATCAGTGAACATGAGGCTTCAAATGTGCAATAAAAAACACAATGATAACTGTTAATTCTCTCCTTTGTATCCTAGGAAGCTCCTTCGAATCTCTATAACATCCTTCTGAAGGGCATGGAGAGGAACTCAATGATGGGCTGCAGTCTGGAGCCGGATCCCAATGTGCTGGAAGCGGAGACGTCCGAAGGTCTCATTCGTGGTCATGCGTATTCCATCACGAAAGTGCAGATGGTGGACATTGTGACGCCCAACACGAGTGGCAAGATTCCACTGTTGCGCCTCCGCAATCCGTGGGGAAATGACGCCGAGTGGAATGGTCCGTGGAGTGATCAGAGCCCAGAGTGGCGCTACATTCCGGATCATGTGAAGGAGCAGATTGGGTTGAATTTTGACGTGGATGGCGAGTTCTGGATGTCATTCAAGGACTTCCTCACGCACTACGATCGCGTGGAATTGTGCAACTTGAGTCCGGACTCACTGAGTGATGATCAAGTGAGTCGCGGCAAGAAGAAGTGGGAGATGTCGGTGTTTGAGGGCGAGTGGACGCCTGGAGTGACAGCTGGTGGGTGCAGAAACTACTTGGAGAGCTTCTGGCACAATCCGCAGTATGTCATCTCGCTGGAGGATCCGGATGAGGATGATGATGAGGGCAAGTGCACGGTGATCATTGCGCTGATGCAGAAGAATCGTCGCTCCAGGAGGAACATGGGCATGGATTGTCTGACAATTGGCTTTGCTGTGTATCATCTGAGTGAGAGGGACTTGATGAATAAGCCGCAGAAGATGAATTTCTTCAAGTACAACGCCTCCGTGGCACGATCGCCGGCATTTATCAATCTCAGGGAGGTGAGCTGTCGCTTCAAGTTGCCGCCTGGACACTACTTGATCGTGCCGTCGACATTTGATCCGAACGAGGAGGGTGAATTCCTTATCAGGGTGTTCTCAGAGGGCAGGAGTCACATGGAGGAGAATGACGAGGAGGTGGGATTCGGAAATGTGGACGATAGGGTGAGCATCGACTATGCTGAGAGTGATTATTATTAACTGTTTAGTATCACGATATAAAAGATGCCTTGTAATTGTCTTGTTGAACAATGTATATTTGTGGCTTCTTATTGTTTGATTTCTCTTATTTATCCTCTTTTCAATTGTACATATAATTTAACCTTATAATTGACCTCTTAGGTTAGCAATTACGACGAAAATGAATTTGGTGATAGAGATCATGTAAGTTTAGGTGTGGATTTATCAATTTAACCCTCACATCGACATGGCATTGTTTGCATGAATACCAAGGAAGACTTTTTTACTGCATGAATTGCGCTCTACAAGAATGACTTTCATTGATTCTTTGCATCATGGCTAGTGGGTTTCACGGGCGTTCTTATTGATTTCTCCATTAAACATTCAATCAGGTGACACCGTCGCTTCCTCAGCCATCGTATCCTGACCCCCAGAAGTCTGCCATGGAGAAACTCTTCCTTGACATTGCCGGCGATGACATGGAAGTTGATTGGATGGAGTTGAAGAGGATTCTGGATCACTCAATGAAAGACGGTATGTTTTCTCTCTGCACTAATCCATTATCTCTCATTGTCTTAATCATTCAGACATCATTGGACATTTCTTTAATGACTGGTGGTTGGTTTTTGAGTAACATTTTTCCTGTATTTTCTATGCATTTTTCTTAGAGGTTCAATTGACTCTGTTTTGGGTAGAGATTTTATGCGTTTTCTTGTAAGAAATCCGTGCATTTTGTGAATGTCACTCTACCTTGTGTTCTGTTGAGGTTTTGGGAGATGAATTGCAACATGTTTTTACATACTTTACTACGCAGTTTTTTTTTCTGGAAGAATCACAAAATGAGCCATTTTTTGAATTGTTAAGGTTGAATTTGCCAAAAAAACATACAGAAATTATCATTCATTCCTTCTTATATCAAATTTTTGATATAACAAAGAACTAGAATGATTCGTTCTGTTGAAAATTGATTGAATTCTTCGTGATTTAATTGTCTAATAATGCTATTACTTTCTCAACTAATAAATCCTTTAACAAATGACAAAAGCTTATCATTAACGTCAAAATAACATGAACCACGTTGAGAATATATCCTCGAATGCAGCACATTGGATTAAGCATGGAATGTGAATAATTCCTCTAAAGTTTGCAATTTGTGTCCTCTTCTCCTCTGTAGTTCTTACTTTTATTTGTTATCTGTCTTGTGTCTGTGAAATTGAGTCGAAGATGCCAATTTCAGCAGCTAAAGATCCCATTGACACACATTTCTCCGGTTTTTACTCTCATCCCTTTTCCCTTGTATTCTTTGGTTTTGCCGTGAAGAAGCAAGAAAAAAAATGGGGGGAAATTTGTGTTTTCGGGGCGCTGTGCGAGCGCGAAGGGCACAAAGCGTGGCGATATTGGCTCAAGACTTCCTGTGTGTTAGATTTGATGAAGGTGTCAGCGAATGGGGCCACTCAGTTGGGCGCTCCGCCCGGCGGGGCCGCCGAGGGCGACGGCGGGCTGCTGGCGCTCCTGTGCGGCGCCCTGTGCAAGGACAACGCCATCGGCCAGGCGTTTGGCGCCAATACAGATCCAGGAGGCGGCGAGGGCGTCGTGACGGTGGCGCCGAGCTCAAGTGGTGAGGCTTCATTGGCTTTTATCTCAACTCTTGTGCGCAATTTTTTTTATCAAACTGAGAGAGAGAGAGAGAATTTTTCTCGCGGTTTTGATGTTTATTTGATTTATCTTCTTACGTTTAATCCTCATCTTATTTTTTTAGCTGCGTGATTTTGATCTTTACACAACCACAAATAATAAGGAATGTAAATTGAATAGTTTTTGGATGATTTTTCACACTTCTGCACAGTCTTTATTTTGTGTTGTGTTCTTAGAGAGAAAGCAGTGTTGATAAATTAGATGTAATTGAAATATTTTAGGGGATTAGAAGGGTGTTTTTAGTAATATTTTCCAGACTTTAGAGAGTTTTTATTAATTTTTATTGTGAAATTTATGCGTTAAAATTGTCTCCAAGTGTAATTTATCATCACTGTTGCAGAGAATTAATTAAAATGTGCACAAAAGTACAATTTTTTCACACGTTTCCGTGTAAAAATATCCTATAAATGTTTACTTGATTACTTTTTCATCCACTTTCCATGCTTTCTTGTGCTTTTGCTTCATCCGGACAGTGTAAATATGTCACAGAGAGCCGATGAAGAAGAGGATTTTCGAGTGTTTCTTGTCTGCTTTTCAGTGCTTTTCGTGAGGCTTTTTCTTCTTGCCATTTCCTGCATTGACGCGCGCTTTTGTGCTTGAATTTCAGTCATGACGGATTACGGAGGCTTCTCGAAGGACGTGTGTCGATCGATGGTGGCGATGCTGGATGTGGATCAGTCGGGCAAGCTGGGCTTCGAGGAGTTCCGGACGCTGCTCAACGACATTGCCAAGTGGAAGGCGGTGTTCAAGCTGTACGATCGCGACGGATCCGGACGATTGGGGGCGTTTGAGTTGCGCGAGGCGCTCAATTCGGCCGGGTATCATCTGAATAATCGCGTGCTGAACGCCCTGGCGCATCGCTACGGCAGCCGTGACGGAATGATTGCGTTCGATGACTTCATTATGTGCGCGGTGAAGATCAAGACGATGATTGACATCTTCAAGGAGCGCGACGTCGACGGGACGAACATGGCCACGTTCAGCATGGAGGAGTGGGTGGAGAAGACGGTTTACTCGTAAATGCATCGATCAATTGCCAGGATAATTCTCTCCTTTTTTTCTAACGCATCAATATATATTCTTGTGACATTGACAAAATATTACAATTTACGCAGAGTGTTCCCTCTACTAATATTTATTTTATTACATGTTTACAAGTAATCACTCGAAATAAATCTATGAATATAGATTACAATATTTTTTTTTTGTGTGAATGTTTTCTTGTAAGAAAATCCCAAAAGTGACCGTTTCACTTGTCATTCAAATTTCACGCTTCCCCTCCGCAAAACCCATCAATTCCCACTGTCATTTAGCCGTTGGGTGGCTTCCGCTGTGACTTTTGCCCTCGAGCGACGTGAAGTTGGTGCAAGACGTCACTCGTGAAGGAGTTCCGCCATTTGCAATTTTCGCTGTGGCCGACAAAAGTGCAAAAGTGAGGGATTTAGCACCCAAAAAGCCACCTAAATGGGTAAATATACAGCCAGAATCTACTGTTAAGTAGTGTTTGGGGCGATTGTGAGTGAAAAACAGGTGCTAAGGTGTGCAGAAAGTGGCGAAAAGGGGTGTGTTTGAGGTGAGAAGATCCAACGGGAGCGCGATGGGCCAATGGCGACATCTCGCAGTTGGCCCTTGGACGGAGAAAATGCCTCTTTTCGGGGTGATTTGTGGCGCCCCACGGTGTTTGTATGCGGCCGGGTGTGGATGAGAGTACTTATTGCGATTCTGGGGTGCTGCTGAGTAGGCCACATGAGCGCCAGGGTGGAGCTGTTGGGCGGAAAAAGTGGAGAAATTGGGGAGTGTGCGTGAGGCAAAAGAGTCTGGCGTCTTTGCGAAGAGAAATTGACCATTTCTCACACAATTGACTCACTCACTTTTCAGTGAAAATGCTCAGCATTTTCCCAGACTTCTTCGTCCAGCACTCAACTATGTGCTGTGCCAGTAGACTTTGCGATTTTCCCGACATTCCCACAGGATGAGATTGTCTGCAGGTGTTTTTTTTCTTCTTCTTCGTCACCTTTGTCGATTTCCTGCCACGAAGCGCACCTTTTGAGACTCATGGACAGCCACTCGATACCTCTGCATTGACCTCTCCCGGGAGACCATCCGCCCATGAGAGCTTCCTTGGCTCGCCTGGCCAGGAGAGTTTGTCCAAGTTTTCTCCACGAAAATGTGTCTCTCGCTGCTCAAATTCCCATTTCTCTTCTCAGATTCACACTCGCAAGCAATTCGTAAGCCAGCCAAGCTTATAAGACTCGAGATTCATGTGCAATCCAACACGAAAGTGGGTGACTTTGTTTTATTCTGCGCACTTTACGGAATTACGTGTGAATTGTTTTGCAGGGAAATCCAAAGGGCTCCGCAATTGATTATTGATTTATTATGAAATGCTGTGAATTCCCATAAAGAAAAACACTTTATTATAAGCTAGTGATTCTTTGTTGAACAGTTTAACTGCTTTTGGCGCTTCTCTGAAGGATAAAATACCCTTTAATGATGTTTATTTGTGAATTTCTTTCGTGCTCTCTTCAACAAATTTATGCAAGATATCTTCCCGGTTGCAATGTCTGTGCCATTGTCACATTGAGGCGAGCAAATACAAAATCTCTGTGGCATTCGATGTACCAAAAATAGTCCCAACTCCTTGGATCTCAGCTCCCCAATACAAACGAATGCCGAGAGTCCATCTAGAGACACACCGCAAAAGATTTTTGACTATCGGAATTGTGTAAACTTTTGACTGTGAGGCTGTTATTAATAATGTTGGAATAGTTAGCAAATTATCACAATTTCTATGGTTTGTGTCAGCTAGAAAAAAGAATTTTCCGAGGTGAGAGAGAGAGAGAGAGAGCGGAAGAGAGGAAAAAGCTGCAGGTTTACATTTGAACGCAACTGTCAATGTCAATTCTGCTCGTTTTCTCCCTGTTTGACGTCACCAAGAGGTTTTTCCAACCCCCTCCAAAGCCATATCTCATCTATTTATACCTTTTTCTCTGCCTCTCTCGTGCTCTGAGAGCGCCTCAGATCACTTTTCCTGCAATTTTCCACCCAATTCTCTCTAATGAGCGCCTCTGGAGCTCACGTGAAAGCCAAGATGTTTATTTTTCCCGGTCCATTTGGTCCCCAGTCTTCAGCCTTTTCCCCGGAAGGTGTGTGTGTTTGTGTGTGTATTGATTTTGCTGGAAAAGCCGCAGGTTTTATTGGGTAGTTTCTATTCTGAGCTTGTTTTGTCACACTCTCTCTCTCTCCCTCTCTCTGTCTGTTGGACAACAGGTTATCAGGAAGTCAGATGAGGTAAAAAAAAATAATATTAATGTGGCAAAAACGTATGATATTTGAGACACTTTAGTTGTGCCATTCTGTTGGAATCCAATCATTGCTAAATGATGAGTAACGATCTGGCTATGTGATGACTATTTATATCCCGGAAAAGCAACGAGGGAGAGTTTTCATCTAAAAATTCATCCTGACTTCCATTTCAATCACCAAAAAGGGGTGGCAAGTGATGTGCAAAGAGCTTTCATGCGATTGGATGGAGGGAAAATGTGTTTCGATTTGGCTAATTGACAGTGTGAATGAGGAGGGTGTTTTCCATTTGCTTTTGCTGTTTTCCCCGATGGTAGAACAAAAACAAAACAAAAAATGAGGTGAATGTCGAGAGACTTGTCGAGAGATGGACATTGATGATTACAATTTCCTTCAAAATTTGCCTCTTCTGCAATATCTCAGCGAGCCAGAAAAGCTAAAAAGAAAGAGCAGTTATTTTAGCTCAAAAGTGCTAAAAAGCCGAAGTATTGAAATGGAACTGATAAAGCGATCATAGTGGACGATTGAGGAAACTTCAGTACTCTGTACTCAGTACAGAGTACTTTAACTTGTTGCCGCTACGTTCGCCAGTGCATCAACCAAATTGCTAAGTTCTTAGCGAAAGAAAGCCAAACTATTAGCTAATGAAATCATCATGTTGAGATTTTAGCATTTTGTGCTCGCTGGGATGTGTTGAAATTTATTTACAACCAGTTGGTTTTGGCCTCTCTCTCAAGGGAGGAGAGAGAAAATGTTTCATTATGTTCAATTGGGGTGCATGAATGTGTTTTTTTTTCTCTGGAAAATCGACCAATTTCCATTCATTAAATATTCTCAGTGAAAATTAAAGAGGCTTTTCATGCTGTTGTACATTTAGATGAGTTGTTTTAAAATTGTGTGTGTTATCGATTCTCTCACGAGTCAGTAAACTCAGTGGAAAATCCATGAGAGAAAATTGGCTGTACGACAAATTTTTCAAGCTCTAAGGCATTTGTCTCGCATTTATTAGTGAAGGAATGCCATAAAATTATTTTTGTAAATATATAGAGTGAAAAAAATGAGAGACGCGCGAGAAAGAGAAAAAGAGGGAGAAAAGGAAAGGATTTCTCCTCTGGAGATTGATCAACCTTTTCTTACTTATTGTGGCGAAAAAAAAGTTATAAGACTGATGATTTATGTTGTTTATCTATACATCAATATGATGGAAATATTCGTGCTTTTGCTGTTCTTCTATATTAGTCCCTATAAAATGTTTACCCGAATGTGTCCTCCTTTCGATTTATATACATATACATTTCATATTTTCCTTCCCAAAATACTATGGCTTTTCGGCTTGCAAGACGGAGAATTTTCAACTTGTGTGTTCTCGTTTTTGGCTCTTCACTTTAACGATTTTCCATGTAACAAAATTGATGTACATAAGCTGCGTTTTTCTTCGGAGGTGGCTTGAGAAAAAGGAGGTGCAAAAGAAGGACGGTTGGAAAATCAATAATCAGTTGATTCTCATGATATATATTTTGTCTGCCAGTGGAAGTTTAACATTTGTGAGTTTATTTCTAAAATGAGACTTGAAGTTATTTTTAAACTCCTTATCATGGTGAGTTTGTATTGATGAATAATTGAGTTTCAATTTTGTATGCAAAGTCATCAGGAATTGTCGATGAGAATTGTTTTGTGTCTCTGTTTTTTTTTTTAATCCAGGCAGATAAAGAGCTTAATTTATGAGAGTTATAAAGCTAAATATTGAGAAATATAAAATTGACAGAAATTTTTTGTACTTTTTCTGTTGAATTTCACTGAATTTTCTCAGAAAATTCACAATAAATAACACTGTTTAGCGAAGAGAAATGAATTTCCAATTCTGGAGAAGAAGAAAAAAAAACTATTTTATCTCCTTAGGAAACAACACTGTATAATTAATGATAAGTTTTCTCCTTTGGCGTTGCGAGAGTGAGCAAGAAATGAAACTTTTCCTCCAGTTTCCACTCTTCGATTCTCTCTCTTTCTGGAACATCAATTAATTTACTTTTATCATCATGTAATTTCTGCTAATCTGAACACTCTGACTTTGTTTTTCTTTTTTCTAATTTCTCATTATCCACTCATTTGTGTGTGTGTGTGTTTTTATTTTCCTCTTGATCACTTTTGCGTCATTTTGTTTGGTGTATTGAATGCGTATGGATATTTGAGAAGAGATGTAATGAAAAATGTGTTTGAAGAGAAGAAGAAGAAGAAGGAGAGAGAGAGAGAAAAAACTGAGAAGTGAAGTGAATAACTGGCCTCCAAAGATATCTAACTAATAGTAGAAATGGTGAGATTGGAAGAGAGGCCAAATGCTGAGGGAGAAGAGAGAGAAAAGAGGAAGAAAAACGTCCGGTGGTCAGTGGCCTGTTATTAAAATGTTTGAGAGTTGGAAGAGAAAGAAAGAGAAGAAGAAGAAGTGAAAAGTAGTGAAGTACGTTGGAAGAAGGTGGGATTGGAAGATGAAGAAGAGAAAGAGAGGAGAATATAAAAAAAAACGAGTCACACACGTAAATGTGCCGCTATTAGCTATTTCTTGTGATTTTAACCACCATTGCCATTGGATTTATTGAGCATTTTCACCCGAAAGCGCGAGCCAGTTTCTCAGGCTGGATTTTCTCCATTCGTGGCCTAAAATCATCGACTTGTTGTTACTTGTACACTTTTATTATTAATACATTTCCTCGTCGTGAGATTGGGATGTGAAAATGCGTGTTTCTGTTCTTCTCTCTCTCTCTCTCTCTCTCTCTCTTTCTCTGTCTGCCTTAATTTTGTAGGTTTACTGAAAGGAGAGTGTGAAAATTCTCACATTCAGTGACGTCATGTGCGTTTTGAAATGAATAAGAGAAGAAGAAG